ACTTCATACTCAAATCACTGTCTTATTTTCAAACATTTGCTTAGTGCCTGGCCACCCCCTAAGTGGCCTCCTGCCAGCCTGGACACTCTTTAACTGCTCCCCTCTGGCTTACCTGCTTGCCTGATCAACCCTAACTGCTTCTGCTTGCCTGTGTGGCCACTCCCTAACTGCTCCTCTGCCGGCCTGGTTTTCCCCTAACTGGTTCCCTGCCGGCCTGGTCACCCTTTAACTGCCCCCATGCCAGCCTGGCTGCCCCCTAACTGTTTCCCTGCCAGCTTGGTCTTCCCCTAACTGCTCCTCTGCTGGCCTGGTCACCCCCTAACTGCCCCGCTGCTGGCCTGGTCCCCTCCTAACTTCTCTACTGCTTACCTGGTCGCCCCCTAACTGTCCGGAAGGAAGTCGGACTTCCAGAAGATGCCCGGTCGACCCGGTTCAATTAGAATATTACCCTTTTATTACTATAGATATAGATGCTGTGTAGGTGCATGCAGTGATTTTGAGGGATAGTAAGCTATCCAAAGGTCCTAGGTATTCACAACTGATAATCTGCTTATTTTAAGGCTTTAAATTCTTTATAAAATTCCAGTGAAAATTACACAAAAATTCCAGTGATTATAGTCTAGGAGTTTTTAAAGTCTAACATAAAGTTTTAAAAAATACCTGTGTGCTTAATATAACAAAACAAAACGGCAAAAAACCAAAGCATCGGCCTTAAAATCAGCCTTGGAAGGCTTTTAGGAGAAAGAGGGAGTTAAAATTTTGTGAATGATTGGACAAGAGGCAGCCTCCAGGGTCTGGGCGGGAGAGTCACTGCTTCCCTCTGCCCCTGGGGTGATCAGAAGCTTCCTGCTCCTTAGCTTCTGTGCTTTCCCCCTGAGTCTGTGAAAGGGTTGTGCCATCTGTGCTCTTCACCTGGTAATGAGAGCATCCGTTTCTCCATGTCGTTAATCCATGTCTTCTCCCAAATTGGATGTTGTTAATCTTTTATTTTTGCCAGTCTGATTGAAAAATAACTTGTAGCTATTGATGTTGAACGTATTATCATGTAATTATTGGTCAATTGCTTTTCTTTTGTAAAATTTCTGTTCATACCTTTTTTTTCCTTATTAGGTTTGGGTTTTGTTTTTTTAAAAATATATTTTATTGAGTTTTTACAGAGAGGAGGAGAGAGGGATAGAGAGCTAGAAACATGGATGAGAGAGAAACATCGACCAGCTGCCTCTTGCACACCCCCTACTGGGGATGTGCCCGCTACCAATGTACATGCCCTTGACTGGAATCGAACCTGGGACCTTTCAGTCCGCAGACCGATGCTCTACCACTGAGCCAAACCGGTTTCGGCAGATTTGGGGGTTTTTCTTTATCGATTTATATGGGCTTTCTGCTGTGATTATGGCTATTAATCCTTTGTCTCTTATAAATGCTGGAAATATTTTCTTCTAGTCAGTAACTTGGTTTTTAAAGTTGTTTTTGCCAACCAGAAGTTTTAAATGTCTATGTGGTTAAATGTAATCTATTTTATGGCTTTCTTGGTTAAGAAGTATACCCCAGAGTTATGCTTATAACTACTATATTCTCTTACGTTTTCTTTTCAATTTGTTTGGAGTCTTGTTTTTCATGTTTTGCTCTTTTAATTCACCTGGAATTTTTTAATGTGACAGCATGAAGTAAGGATCTAATTTCCCTCCTCTCTGAATAGTTTGCCAATTCTTACACGCTATTTATTTGTTCACCCTTTCACAATTGTTATGCGATTCTATTTGATCACAGACTATACTCATGTAAATGGATCTACTTTTCAACCTTATTCTACATTATCCATGTGCTTGGCTTTTTTTGTACTAATACCAGGGTGTCTTCATATTTTAATTGATTTCAGAGAGGAAGAAAGAGGGAGAGAGATAGAAACATCAGTGATGAGAGAGAATCATTGATCTGCCTCCTGCACGTACCCCACCGCAACGGATTGAGCCCGCAACCCGAGCTGAGCATTTTGCCGACCAGGAATTGAACCTTGACCTTCTGATTCATAGGTTGTTGCTTAACCACTGAACTACACTGGTGGGCTATCAGACTTATATTTTTATCTCCCTAGTTAGACATGTAGCAGTAGGTTAAGAACAACAGCAACAAACAACTAATGAAGCAATAGATCTTTCCTAATAGATAAGTAATTTGGCATTTGACAGATGGAAGCACAATATTTAATCAAGATAATCTTTCAAATAGGACATGTACAAGATCAGGGAGAGATGATTGACTTGTAGAGAGTGAAAAATCAACAGAAATCTATAGCTGTTAGGAAATAAAAAGTACACTGACTGTGCCATAGCTTCCTGTCAGGGTTAGATCAACTGCAGATCTGCCAAAAATAGAGCATCTGATTTGCTAAATGTTTGCACTTACCAAATTTAAGATTGTATTTGAAATTATTATTGGATTTTCATCTGTTGAGTAGAGGGATAGGAGTGTAAATTCAAAGATTTCAATGGAAATTTTCCATCACTTTCCCTCCCTCCCTCCCTCTCTCCTTCCCTCCCTCCCTCCCTTCCTTCCTTCCTTCCATCTATCTGCCAGGTAAATGTTTATTGTATTAAAGGATTTTGTTGCAACCACCATACATACTGGATACATGTATCTTTAGAGCCACACTGACTTCCTGTCCTTCCTAAATGCTTTAAAAGTTATTTGTTGGACATGTCAGATCATTTGGCTGAGGAATCATCCTACAGAAGTCTCTCTTGCATTATTGTAACTTTTCACATATTCTTACTCATTGTTTCATTTTAGCCTTGGAAACAAAGTTCATTAACACTAAGGTAGTATAGGCTTAGAGTGTGGATTGCATGTGTGGACTTGATTGTTGTTCAGATGGCAATTAGATCCTTTAAAAAAACTGTTAAAAGGTTAATTATTCCATGGAGGTTTTGTTTGATGTATCACTAAAATGAAATAGTGAATTCAGCTTGATTTTATTCTAACTGGGTTTTGTGTTCATGTGTGTGTGTGTGTGTAATCAAAGCTTGTTTTGTCCACTTTGCTTTTTACATTTTTGTTTATATTTCTTAGAAGTGTTTCAGATTTTAGTATGGCTCATTCTGGCTTCAAGTCCTACTAGCATCCCCTATAAATATATAGGCATCTGTTTAGTTTACTGAAATATTCTAAATAAGATGAGCAAGGTCCAGATCAGTTAGTTCATGAAAACTTATTTAAATAAATAACTTTTGATGTATTCTGGTCACTACTAAACTCAACAATAAAATAAAGAGCGTAAAAAAAATTTAACGTGAATAGGAAATAGATGGAATAAAGAATAAAATGAAAGGTGAATTAAATGGCCATATTCTAAGCTGGATATTTTATGGCTTTTTTTCCTTCATCACTACATAAGAAGGTAGCAGACCAGTAATAAAGAGAGAGATCTAACAGATGTTCCACAGCAAAAGGCTTCATCAGTTTATTTCTCATGATCCTATTAACATAATGAACCGATTGATTGCTCTTTGGTTAAAATTAAGTAATGTAAGATTGAGCAAAAAAGAACAGAAAGGAACTCATGGGCATGGACAGCAGTATAATGATTGTGGGAGGGAGGGGTTAAGGGAAGGTAGAAGAGGGTATATGGGGATAAATGATTATGGAAAAGAATTAAATTAAAAACAGAATAAAGCTTCTTCTCTGCTTAAAAAAAAAAGAGAAAGGATATCCAAGTATTAGCTTTTCAGCTATATAGGACTCGCATTTCTCCCAACTCATGTCTTTTGGCTTTGAAACTTAATTTGTTGTTGCTGTTATTATTTTGTACTTTGTGGTTCTCTGTACAAAATATGCTGGCGTATTTCAAGAGTTTGAATATAAGCAGTGGATGACATCTTCAAAGCGTAGTGAACCTGTAGGTATTTACTTAGCACTAGCTTTGTTGTATCAAACCATGATGAAGTGTTAAGACTATATACTGTATGTAGAGATGACACACTAAATTAGTGCCATAGTAACTTGAAGAGTTAACTCAGTGTTTACTATGTAGCCAGCCAGCTCTGTGCTAAGTGCTCTTCTGTCCGGTGAAGTAGGTACAAGTTTTTTTCCTTTCACAAATGATGCCATTGGCACAAAAAAGTCACATTGTTAAAAGTCACATAGCCAAGTAAACAATGAACACAGAGTAATGGAAATATTTTAACATTAGATTAGAGTGGTGGTTACACAACCCTGCAAATTTACTGAAAATTACTGAATTATATACTTAAAATGGTAAATTTTGATATGTGAATTATATTCCGATAAAACTTAAAGAATAAATGGGTTCAGAGCTTATTTTGGAGTGGTTCTCTTTTATAAGTATATTTGTAAACTAATATAGTTGATACTTTTTAGTTCTGCATAATATTTTAGGTAAGTGGAATGGAAAACTGAAGTATCATTCTTTAGGTAAGATAGAACATTGAAAGGTAACTCCACCCCATAAATTCATTAAGAGTTAGTTTTTATGGATAGGAATTATGGACCTAAATATTATAATCGTAAGTTTAAAGGGTAGTGATTCAAATATATGTTAACCTCTTGTGATTTTTAGATATCAAGATCTTGATAGCATGCTCTCTCTCTAACACACACACACACACACACACACACACACACACTCACACACACACGCACACACACACACACTCTCTCACACACACACACACACACACACACACACACACACATAGTCTTCAAAATTAGAAAAGGTATTGGTATTTTCTCTAATCTTATCTATTCTGCAATGTGTTTTTGTTTTATCTGCCCTCTCAACCCACGGGAATGCCGTGTCTTATGAATGAGTAAACACACTTGAGCTTCAGGCTATTTATATGTTCTTTTTTATTTTTAGCACTTTCATTTTATTTGGACCCTTGGATGCCCATTGACGGATGCTTGAGACCTGCAAGTAATCTTCAGATCAGAGCAGAACTGTAAGGCCTGTATGGGAAGGAGATAGTCCGTGTGCTGTGGAAATGAACGGGGAGCAGCAGCTGGATGCAGGTATTGGTTTTGGTGAGCAGAATTCCTTCTTCAGAGTGCAGAATCATATACCTTCCTGCGTGACATTGTCTGACTTACCTTTAACACTACCGAGAGAGCTGGTTGAGGCTATGAGTTGTCTTTCTCTGTACCTGGCAGAGAGCCTAATACTAGGGGATACTCACAATGTTTCCTGAAAAACTAAATAACTTTTATGAATAGACTTTTATTTTGAAAAAACACCATTTTAATTTTGATGGTTATTTTTGAATTATTTTGAAATAATTATATATTCATAGGAAGTTGCAAAGATAACACAGGTTCCCGGTATCCATCACCAGTTTCTATCATTTGTTACATCGCATATAAGTATAGTACAGTGTAAAAGCCAGGAAGTTGGCATATGTAAAAAGTGTATGTAGTTCTGTGTCATTTTATCACATGCTAGAGGTCTGGTGCATGAAATTCGTCCACTCAGGGGGTGTTTCCCTCAGCGGCCTGCGCCCTCTCACAGTCTAGGAGCTGTTTGGGGACATCCCCCTGATGACTGAGGCCCGCTCCCCGGGGAGCGGCAGTTGGACATCCTGAGCACTGCCACTGTGCTCGCCAGCTGTGAGCCCAGCTTGTGGCTGAGCGGCGCTCCTCCTGTAGGAGTGCACTGACCACCAGGGGGCAGCTCCTGCGTTGAGCGTCTGTCCCCTGGTGATCAGTGCACGTTGTAGGGACTGATCATTCTGCCATTCAGTTGATTTGCATATTAGCTTTTTATTATATAGGATAGATTTCTATAACCTCCACCTCAGTCAAGATACAGAACTGCTCCATTATCACAAAGAGCTCCCTATTCTACTCCTTCATACTTACACCTACTTTCTTTCCCCATCCTTCCCTGAGTCAGGCACCCATTAATCTGTTCTCTAGCTCTATAATTTTGTCATTTCAGAAATATTACACATATAGAACCACATAGTATGTCACTTTTTGAGGTTGGCTTTCATTACTCAAAATAATGCCCTTGATGTAAAAAAAAAAAAAAAGATTTTCAAAATAATGCCCTTGAGATCTATCCAAATTCTTGCATATATCAATAGTTTGTTTCCTTTTATTGCTGAACAGCATTCCATGATATATTACAGTTTTGTTAACTATTCATCTATTGTTCTACAATTTGGTTGCTTTCAGTTTTGGGCTACTAAAAATACAGCTGCTTGCCGGGGCTGGTTTGGCTCAGTGGATAGAGCGTCGGCTTGGGGACTGAAGGGTCCCAGGTTCGATTCCGGCCAAGGGCATGTGCCTTGGTTGCAGGCATATCCCCAGTGGGGGGTGTGCAGGAGGCAGCTGATCGATGAATCTCTCTCATTGATGTTTCTAACTCTCTATCTCTCTCCCTTCCTCTCTGTACAAAATCAATAAAATATATTTAAAAAAAATAAAAAAAATAAAAATACAGCTGCTTGAACAATAGTATACATTAGATTTCATTTTTCTGGGGTACATGTCTAGGAACACAATTGTTAGATTATACATTTAATAAAGAAACTGCCAAACTGTTATCCAGGATGATTATGCTATTTTACATTCTCACCATCCATGTGTGAGAGATGTAGTTTCTTCTCATTCTCACTATCATTTGCTATTGTCACTATTTTTAATTTAACTCTGATGGGCATCTAATAATGACAGCTTTTCCTGATCTTAATTTGCATTTTCCTAATGGCTAGTGATGTTGAACATGTGCTGTATCCTCTTCAGCACAATGTTTATTTCTTTGGTTCGTTTGTTTGACTGTCTTTTTTTGTGTTTTCTTTTTTTGAAATATATTTTTATTGATTTCACAGAGTAAGGGAGAGGGAGAGAGAGATAGAAACATCAATGGTGAGATAGAACCATTAACTGGCTATTTCTGCACACCCCCTACTAGGGATAGAGCCTGCAACCGGGCATGTGCCCTTGACTGGAATTGAACTGTAATCGAACCCCTGACCCTTTAGTCTGTAGGCGGATGCTCTATCCATTGAGCCAAACCTGCTAGGGCCTTTTGTTGTTTTTCCTAATCCTCACCTGAGGATATTTTCCATTGCTCTTTAGAAAGAATAGGGGGGAGGGGGGAAAGAGAGAGAGAGACATATCAATTGGTTGCCTCCCACACAAGCCCCTACCAACTGGGGCGGGGGATAAAACTCAATCCCCAAGTTCATGCCCCTGATCAGGAATTGAACCTGAGAACCTTTGATGTGCGGGATGATGTTCTCACCAGCCAGGGCTGTATGTCTGCTTTTTAATAAATACTTATTTCTCTAAACATTGAGCTTTTAAAATACCAGCTTTATTGAAGTGTTTTTCCTTTTTTGAGGTGTAATTGTATCCTTATAGAATGTACAGTTCAGCGGCTTTCAGCATATTCACACAGTTTTGTGACATCACTACTGTTTCTAAAACACTGTCATCATCCCCTAAAAGAAACAGCAGTTGTTTCTTGCCCCACTCAGCCTCTGGCAACCACCATTCACCTACTTTCTGTCTGTGTGGATTTACCTGTTTCTGCTTCCTTTTGATTAATGCTTATTTACATGGCATGTCTTTTTCATTCTTATACCTTCAACCTATATATCATTATATTTGAAGTAAGGTTCTTATAACAGCATATAATCTTTTTTATAAATTTCAGTCTTGTAATTATTGTGTATTTGGACCTTCTACATTTAATGTAATTATTGGTAAGTTAGGGCTCAAGTGTGCTATTTTTGTTCATTTGTTTTCTGGGATTATTTTTGTCTTCTACCCCCTGCCTTCCTCTGGGTTACTTGACTATTTTTTTTTAGAATTCCATTTACATTTGTCTATAGTGTTTTTTAGTGTATCTTTTTGTATAGCACTTTAGTGGTTGCTCTAAACATTACATTTTATGTATATAACATCAGACTGCTGGTATATCATCATTTTATTGGTTTGAGTCACATGTAGAAACTTTACCTATTTTTATGTCTTTACCTTGTAATATAATTATTATAAATATTTCCTTTTCATATTTTGAGAACCATATCAGATATTAAAATTTTTGTTTCAACTTTCAAACATAATTTAGAAAACTCAAGGAGAAGGAAAAATATTTTTAAATATTTGTACTCTTTCCTTTGTTCTTCTTATACTAGTTTTATTATTTATTTCTAATGTTTATTAAAAAATATAAACAGCCATAGCTGGTTTGGTTCAGTGGATAGAGCGTCGGTCCACCGACTGAAGGGTCTCAGGTTCCTCCCTGCACCTCAGCTGCAGGCTCAATCCCTGCCCTGGTCTGGTTGGGGTGCATGCTAGAAGCAACCAGTGGATGTGTCTCTCTCACATTTGCTGTTTCTCTCTCTCTGTCTCTTTCCTTCCCTTCCACTCTCTCTGAAAATCAGTGGAAAAATATCCTCCATTGTGAATTAACAAGATAAATTAAAAAAAATAAATAGGTTTAAGTATGTACAGATATATTTATTTCTATACCTCTCTCACCATACACAAATGTAGAGATACAATAACTGATCTGTAGTTTTCAGTTTCACTGAATATATACTGGAAAGTACTCCACAGCAGTATCTCAAAAGGAATTGTTCTCATTCCTTTTTACTGTTGTATAGTGCTGGATGTATAAACCACAGATCACTCAGCCAGTTCCTTATTGATGGACATTGGGTCTTTGCAGTCTGATATCTCAAGTAGTGCTGCAGTGAACAGCTTGTCCATATGTCTTTTTGTATTTTGCCGGCCTATCTTTGGAATAGATTCCTAGAAGTGGGATTGCTGGATCAAAAGGTAAATACATATATCATTTTGTTAGATATTGCCAAGTTTTCTTTCACTAGGTTGTATCATTATGCTTTACCTGCTTAACTTTAGCCTCACCATAGAATATGTTGTCAAAGTTGGGAATTTTCCCCACTGTGATATTTCAGAGTAGTTTTAATTTGCATTTCTCTTAAAAAAATGAGTATATTTTCATATCTTTCCATACGTTCCAGGACCTTCGAATTCCTTTTTTATAAATTTTCTTTTCCTGTATTTTGCTCATTTTTCTATTCAGTCATTAACCTGTTTCCTCTCTGTTCTTTAATAGTTTTTAATGTATGAGAAACTTTAGTTCCTTAGCTCATTATTTTTATTGTTGTTGTTTTTATTTATTTATTTATTTTTGTTGGAGACACGTTTAATGTGGACATTGGAGGCCTGGGCAGAGGGAGAGTGCCCAGGGGTGGGACAGGCAGGCAAAGGGGAAGGGAAGGCAGGGTGGGGGAGGTGTCTGTGCACGAGGAGAGGATCTGAGAGTGGCTCAGGCAGGCAGAGCCGCTGGGGGACCTGGGGCGAGCCCTTGAGAAGGCATCTGAATCAGGTGGTGAGTGCCCAGGTCGGAGCCCGGCCCCGAGGGGCAGGGGGCAGGCCTGCGAGGAGCCTAGGGGCCGGCGTAGTCCTCGTAGATGGCTTCGTAGATATCGTAGTAGTATTCGTCGTCATCGTCATCCTCATCCTCATGTCATCCTCATCGTCATCAAGGTCCTCCCCTAGCTGCTGCTGGAACTCCAGGCGCGTCTGCCGTCTGCTGGTGTGGAGGTGGTCGTTCTGCTCCTCCAGGTGGTCCAGGCAGGTGTTGATCTGGTCCAACATGGAGTTGATGACAGTGTATTCTGCATCCCCAAAGCTGTCTTCCTCGTCTTCCGTGCTCGGCAGCAACGGCATGCCCATATTGGGGCCCGACATTGCGGGCTCGGGTGCCGCAGAGGCCACGAGACGCTGAGACCTGTTTTTATTTTTAAATTAGCATGCTGTTTCAGGAACTAGGCTCCTCCTATGGACCAGGAGTGTTCGGCCCTGCTTTATGTTAGTAATGGAAATTGACTTTCCACTGGCCCATACTTCTAAGATATTTCCAATGTAGTCTTTGTTGGCTTGTTATATTTCTAGTGAAAAATTTCAAATACATAAAAATGAGTGGGAAACAATGTAAGAACACCCACAGAGCTACCCTGAAGAATTAGTAAATGTTAACATTGTCTCACATTTGTTTCCATTGTTTTATTGCGGTAAAATACCCATTGTACACAGTTTACCATTTTAACCATTTTTAAAAGAGTGTACTGTTCTGTGGCATTAAGCACATCCATATTGTTGTGCACTCATCACCATAGTCCATCTCTAGAACATTTTTCAGTTTGTCAAACTGAAGCTCTATACTCGTTAAACACAAACTCCCCATTCTTGTTGCCCCACAGTTCTGGAAACTACCATTTTTCTTTCTGCCTCTGTGAATTTGACTATTCTGGCTACCTCATATAACTGGAACCATACAGTAGTTATCCTTTCGCAGGGGCTTATTTCACTTAGCATAATGTCCTCTAGGTTCATCCATGTTGTATTATGTGTCAGAATTCCTTCTTTTTTTTTTAAGTCTGAAAAATACTCCATTGAATGGATGTATCTCATTTTAATTTCTTCTTCTGTCAATGGATACTTGGGTTGCTTCCACCTTTTGGGTATTGTGAATATTGCTGCTACGAACATTTGTGTTCAGATGTCTGTTTAAGCCTGCTTTCACTTCTTTTGGATATATAAGAAACCACCATATAGTTTTCCACAGTGGCTATATCATTTTACATTCCAATACCAGCAGTGCACAAAGATTCTAATTCTCACTTCCTTGCCAACATGTATTTTCTGCTTTGTTTTTGTTTTGTTAATCCTCACCTGAGGATACTTTTACCATTGCTTTTCAGAGAGAAGAGTGGAAAGGAGGGGGCAGCGAGAAAGAAAGAGTAGGAGAGAGAAAAATATTGATGTGAGAGAGACACATTGATTGGTTGCCTTCTGTATGCACTGGAATCAGAGCAGGTAGCAAACCTGCAACCCTATGTACATGCCCTTGACCGGAATTGAACCCAGGATTCTTGGTCCGCAGGCCACTACTCTATCCACTGAGCCAAACCAGCTAGGGCTGTTTGCATTTTTTAAAATAAATAAGTACTAGATAGGCACGGCCAAGTTTATACCTCTGTAGTATTTCTCTTCTAATCATGTTTTCTCCTCTCCATCCCCAAAGGTAGTGCAATTTATTGCAAACTTACTAGTGCCAGGAATTGGTTTGGACAGCGGGATACAAAGTTTCTGTCTTCATAGAGCTTGTTTTCTAAAGGGGAAGATAAAAAGACATGGTGCCCTGTCCAATAGGAATGAATGCCTTGAAGACCAGAAGGCAGGGCCTGGGAGTTTTCTATTGTGGGCATTGCTTGGAAGGCTTTTTTGGAGACAATTGAGTGGAGGCTTGAATGCAATGAAGATGTGAATGACACTGGGAAATCAGTCTTGGAGCTGCGGAAATAGCAAATGCAGAGGCTTTGAGGAAAGAACATGTTTAAATTGAAGAATAAACTCAGTGTCACTTGAGTGCAGTGAGCAAATAAGCTGGTTGGGAATGAAGTGGCAGGGTAGGTAGCAAGACGGTCAGATCATGTAGCGAATTTGCAGTCTCTCAAAGATTTTAGATTTTTTATAAATGTGATTAAAAAGTGAGTGATGTCATGGTTAGGCCTTGGGCGAGAGCGAACAATAGGAATGGTGAGATGTGATTAGATTTGGGATCTATTTTTAAGGTGGTACCTAGAGAATTTTCTGATAGTTTGGATGTGGGATGTTGGATGTGAAGGAAAGGGAGGAAAGCAAAGATAATCTCACATTTTTTGGATTGAGCCAAAATACCGAGAAGGGTATGTTTTACTTAGTTGGAGAGCACTAAGGAAGAAATCAGATTAAAAATTCAAGTTTGATATGCCTACCTGTTACGTATCTCAAACACTTGGTGTTAGGTACTAAATACAATTCAAAGTGGTTGTAGCATTTACACTCTCACCAGTGTTGTGTGACCCATTTGGGTGAGTCCCAGATGGATCCCAACAGGAGGCAGCATGTCACACTCTGTGATGTTGAGGTTCATTGACAACCTGTGCACCAAGGGAACCTATCACAAAGCCAGTTAACTTGTGAAGTAAATTGTAAGTTAGGTTCATTACTAAATTTATGTTTTTGTACCTTGAGTTTTCTTGGGGTTCACCTGTTTTTTATTTGTTTTATTTTGTCTTTGATTCCAGATGCTGGGTCTGGTGTGGAAGAGGTGGAGTTAAGCTGGGAAGATTATCTGGAAGAGACGGGGTCCACAGCAGTTCCCTATGGATCTTTTAAACATGTGAGCATTGCTTTCCTCTTTACATCTGTTCTCTCTGACTGACTGAGCCATCATTAGACAGCTTGGAGTTGTTTTAAGTTGGGGTGCTTGGATGCCTTTTCCTGTTTTCTCCCCCTCGATACTCTTATTAAGAAAACTTGATATACTCTTAAAATTATTTTTGGTTTGTGTACTTTCTGCCACTTAATGCAGGAGTTTGTTTTTTTTGACTGGTCATGAATATTCCTTTATTTTTGTCAAACAATCTTTTTAAAAAGGTAATGTTTTTTTTTTCTTACACTTTACATTCTAACATTTGATGACTATTGGTTTGCTTATTGAAAGTAATTTCAGTAACACTGTTGTTTTCTATAATGTTGAGCAGAAATGCAGTAATGCCATCCAGTGAGTCACATGAGTGGCCTGTGCAGCATAGTTTTTTGCCCTAACAGCCCAATTTAATGCTCTGTCAATGGACAACGTATTTGCCTATGCCTTTAGAGTGTAAGAAAATACTCCAAATTTTATTGATAATTTATATTTAGACTGAGTTTTCTTTAATCTGTTCATCCTTCACTCCCTCTTAAAAGACACAAAATAACTGGTTCTTAAACTAATTATTTCATGTTTGTCGTAGTCTGCTCAAGAGCCCATGACAAGTAACAGACTAGGTGGCTTAAGAGTTTATTTTCTTCTTTTTTTTAATGTATTTTATTTATTTTAGAGAGGGAGAGATAGAAACATCAATGATGAGAGAGAATCACTGATTGGCTGCCTCCTGCACTCCCCTTACTGAGGATCAAGCCTGCAACCCAGGCTTGTGCCCTTGGCCGGAATCGAATCTGGGACCCTTCAGTCCACAGACTGTCGCTCTATCCACTGAGCCAAACCAGCTAGGGCAGAAGTTTATTTTCTTACAGTTCTGGAGATTAGAAGTCTAAGAGTAAGATACCAGCATGGTCATTTCCTAGTGAAGACTCCTCCTGCTTTGCAGACAGACAGCCGCCTTCCTGCTGTGTCCTCACGTGGGGGATGTGAGGGAGCAGGCTCTCTGGTGTCTCTTCTTATAAGGACACGAATCCTGTTGGATCAGGACTCCAACACTGGGGCCTCATTTCATCCTTCCTGTCTTCATAGAGGTTCTATCTTCAAATATAGGTGCATTGGGAGCTAGGATTTGAACATATGAATTTGGGGGGAGGGCAAGTCGATAGCAATGTTCAACAGGACATAGTTCCTTTTGTTCTAGGATTTGCAGAGATAATCATTTGTCTATGATTTTGTGAAGCTGAACTGTATTTTTTAGGTTTCTTTATAACCAAACGAGTACTGCTGTTTGCAGTTCTCATGTAAAAATTCTGGCACAGTAATTTACATTAAAAAAAAAAAAAGAATTGTTTAATGATTTTTACAGACAGAGGAAGGGAGAGAGAGAAACAATGATATGAGAATGTAACATCAATCGGCTGCCGCCTGCACCTGTTCTACCAGGGATCAGGCCCATAACCCGGGCATGTGTCCTGACTGGGAATCAAACCGTGACCTCGTGGTTCATAGAGTGATGCTCAACCACTGAATCACACCGGCCAGAACATGGTTGTCATTTTTAGTATATCTTAGTTCATTTTGTCTCTCTTAAATTGAAGTGAGAATTACATATTTTAGGTAAGGATTTTATTTTGTATTGCATTGTCAAATCTTTTATAGTAGTTTTCAATATTGTTTTAACATAGAAAATCTGTGAGTGAGATACCTTTGAATTTTATTTTTAATGTTATTACTAATCTGATATGTATTTACACAATTTTATTTATTTATACTAAAATGCAAATGATGGACAAATTCCCTGATTGAAATTCTTGTCTAAAAAAAGTCACTTTAAAGAGATAGATTTTACCTTTTCCTCTTTGAATGACAAAGCAACAAAATGAAAAATAAATGCATGCATACTCTCTCATTGTCAAATGTAGGAAATATTTATTAACCTGAATCAGTATGTGATAAAGGGCTGCCAAATAAGCTGAAAATCAAGCCTGGGTGTAGGAAGATGCTGAGAAGGGGTGCTTTTGGCTAGCAGATCACAGACAAAGCTGACACAGCTCAGATCTTCAGAATAATGGAGATGGATGTGACGGCCACTGGCAAGAGTTTTGTAGGACCCAGTTGGGAATAAAGGCAGGAGGGAAGACAGGCTTATGAAGGAATTAGAGGTAAACCACATTTACAAGGAGGACACATCTCAGATAGTAAAAAAGCCTTCCTCAAGGTACAGGTCTGGTGGATAGAACAGCACTCACTATGGGGAAAGGCACTAAACTTTACCTGGGTCTTTTAAAATAAAAACTTGAGCTCCTAGTGGAAGGGATGCAAACCCTATTAACCCCAGGGTTCAGGTGGAGATCTCTGGTAGCCTGGGGCTAGAACAGAAGGAATAAAAGCCCTCTATCTCTGGGACAGAGGAAGAAATTCATGCTGGAGCATTAAAGATCCTCTGTAATTGGGAGAGGGCTAAGATAATCTGAGAAGTTCTCACGCCCTAGACCCAGGAACACAAAACCTGACTAAGAATGAGGCTGCATCTGAGAGAATGCTCCTTTCAGCCTGTCCCTAACCACCTGTTGGATAACAGCAGTTTATTTGTGGGGAAGAGGCAAAAGAGTATGGAGAGAGATGGCCTGTGAGATGCAGACACAAAGACCCTAAATCTGAGGATAGAGCATCAAACATTGAGGGAGATAAAATCCTCCAGCAAATGAGCTTACACCCTAAACACCAGAAAATGCCAATGGACTTAAAAGCCTGTGGTGTCCTGTGAATAATCATAGCAACAACAAAACCCAAATCCAGCTCTACTACTTAGTAGATTGACTTAACATTCTCCCTCAGACTGATGGTATAAGGAAAAACATGCCCATTCCCAGGCATAGTACTATTTACCTTCACCTTGACTGTTTTACACAGGAAGTCTGGCTTTCAACCAAAAATTATGGGACACATAAGGAAGTAAGAGGAAAACAGCAGACTATCAAAGCAGTCAAAACCAGACTTACATGATTCAGATGTTGGAACTATCTGAAAATTTTAAATAACTGTGATCAGTATGTTAAAGGCTCTAGCATAATAGGTGGACAACATACATGAATAGTAAAGGATCATACAGAGATGGAAACTACTAGAAAGAATCAAATGGGAATCATAGAAATGAGAAACCAGGTACAGGAAATGGTGAATGCCTTTGATACAGGCTTATCAGTAGGTTGACACAGATTAAGAAATAATCAGTATACCTAAAGATAAGTCATCACAGCTGCTCTCACCAGCCATGAGCCCAGGGTCAGTCAACTGAGTGACGCTCCTGCTGTGGGAGTGCACCTACCACCTCATGGTCAGTGCATGTCATAGCAACAGGTCAAACGGTCGACCAGTTACTTAGGGTTTTTTATATATATATGGATGTTTTAATAGTGCCTGAGTTTTCACACTCTGTTGGTGGCGTGAGCCTCTTCCACCTCCTCAGCAGCACTAAGGGCGGTGGCAGGGGCAATGGGCTGGGATGAGCGGGAGCAGCGCCTGGCTGGGCTTGGGCTGCTCCCTGGCTGCCTGTCGCTTCTCAAACTACTACATGCTCCAAGGGGTCCTGGATTGCGAGAGGGTGCAGGCCAGGCTGAGGGACCCCACTGGTGCACAAATCTGTGCACTGGACCTCTAGTAGTGTTTCAATTCAGGATAGTGATTACCTTTCAAGAGTTCAGTGGGGGTGAGGGGAGGATATTTACATAGAATGTGGGACTTTGCATCTCTGGCTCTCTCCTTTCCAGAGGTTTTTTTACCGCGTTGCTTTTAGTGGTCAGGGCTCCCTAGTCTCCTTCAGTGCATGGCAGTTCCTTGTGCTTTCTTTGTCTTTCATGGCCTTGATACTATTGAAGAGCAAATTACTTATCAGTTATTTTATAGAATATTCCACAATTTAGGTTTCGTTTTTCTCATCTTAGCTCGGGTTTATGCAGTGTTGGCAAAAACATCATAAAAATGATTTTGTGCTTTTTAAGGGTGTATGATATTGATGTTTTCAGACTGGTGATGTTAACTTTGATCATTTAGGGTAGTTTCTGCCAAATTTCTTCATTGTAATGTCACTGTTTTCTCCTTTGTAGTTAATAAGAATCTTGCAGGAAGAACCTTTGAGATTATGTAAATATCGTAGCATCATCGTAATATTAACACTGCTCATGATTCTCGCCTGCAGTGTTTACTTCTGTGGGTTTGTCTAAAGTTGATTTTCTATTGCCATCATTTCCCCCTATTTTTATTAATTGATCTACTTTAAGGAATTTCTGTCCTCTCTTCTTCGTTAATTATTCTTAACAGCATGAACTCATGGACATCAATGTAAATTGGTGGGTTATAATCTACTAACCTAATTTATTTTATTGCTTAAATTGTCACACATGTGTCCATTGGAAGATTCTTTTTGACATCACAAGATATTCCAGGCTCCTTCTGTATTTTTTCTACCCTGGAATTTGATCCTTGGAGCCTTTGTTCTTTTTTATTGGAGGATGCTATTTAGAAATCAGTATTTAAAAACTAAACTTGCTGTTACTGAGTTTCATTACTTCTACTGTGTCTGTCAGTTCACAGAGCTAGGAAATATATCTATGTTAATACATACATACATACACTCCTATACTTTTTTCTCTATCTCTTTCTATTTATCCTTCTGTATGTCTGTAATCATGCCCTCATTCTGATACCTTGATTACAATTCAGCACCACAAGATTCATTCTCCTCTTCTCCCTTCCTTATTTTCACTTCTTTCTCCTATCTCAGAAACCTGTCTCTCATCATCTACAATATATTGATTGATTTAATCTTAGTATACACATGCAGTAGTCCTAAAATTGTTAACCCATACCTTTGTGACCATATAATTTTTCATCTAAATTAGGACTCTTTTGAGAGAGAAAGGGGCATTTTTAATTATTCAAGGACAATTATTGAGTAATAATTAAACATAAACTGTTTCCCAGGATGACTGGGAGGTATTGCTCTCTCATATGGCACATGTCATACTAACTTTTTATTATTATAGTTTATTTTTATCCACCCATTTTCTAGAGTCATACATTTTCTCTTGAATGATCTAGAAATCACTCCTGACAACTTACTATGTCAAATATTAAGCTGTTAAAATGGAGAACATTTAGTGATGTATTTATTTACTAGAAAACATTTCTGTGATCACAATAAATTGATGGTGGTGAAAATAATGGGTTCTGCTGAGATGGAACAGAAAAGCATTGTTGTTCCCTGCTTGCTTTGGGTCACTCCTGAGTTAGAACGGGAATTTCTTGGGTTCCCCTTGAGAGGATCTTATTGCATTTAGTACTCAGAATTGTAGGTCTTAAAAAGAATGCCAGCCAAAGAAACGCTCATTTGAGATACTTGTCTGGTGGCTAATAACATATCCCTGTTCAGGTGGACACACGTTTGCAGAATGGCTTTGCTCCTGGGATGAAACTGGAGGTGATTGTGAAAAAAGATCCTGAAATCTACTGGGTTGCCACCATCATTACCACCTGTGAGCAGCTGCTCCTCCTCCGCTACGATGGCTATGGAGAGGACCGGCGAGCGGACTTCTGGTGTGACATCAGGAAGGCTGACCTCTACCCCATCGGGTGGTGTGAGCAGAACAAGAAGACCCTCGAAGCTCCGGAAGGTAATAAAATACTTCCTATCGCAACATAATAGGATATTGCTGTAGGAAAGCCTGTCCTTTGTAAAATACGTGTTTTTTTATTTCAGAGAGGGAGAGAGAGAGACAGAAACATCATTGTAAAATATGTGTTTTTTTATTTCAGAGAGAGAGAGACAGAAACATCAATGACAAGAGAGAATCATTGACTGGCTGCCTCCTGCATGCCCCACACTGGGGATTGAGCCCACTACTTGGGCACTTGCCCCTACCAGAAATTGAGCCATGACCTTCTGGTTCATAGGACAACACTCATCCACCGAGTCACGCTGGCCGAGCTTCTTGTCCATAATCTTGAGGCTTTCAGTTTCTCATACACATATGTTTTTCTAGCTTATTTGGTTTAGCATTTTGAAGGAAACGAATAATGCACATTCTCTTATCTTTTAAAATTTATTTCTTTGCTCCATAAAGCATCATGTTTTTGTGACACTCATAGGGAGCATCACTTATCGTTCTATAAGACTGTGAGGCTCTCTGGGTTTGAGGATGTCTTTAGGTGCATTGGGCCAGATTGGTTCTCTTTTTTGACTTGATTGACCTCTCACTTCTTACCCACAAGTGATCTGGGACCTATGAACTAATCGAGGCTTTCTTCTAAATAAAAGCCTACTGGGAGTAGAATTCAAAAGATAGAGACAGTAGTACAAAAGAGAGGAGTCATATAATAGGGAAGAGAGATTGCAGATTTATGAAAATATCAGACCTTATATGTTTATCTGTCAACCTCTTATTCCGATACTAGAGGCCTGGTGCACGAGTTCATGCATGGGTGGGGTGCCTCGGGGTGGCCTACAGGGACCCGGCCCCGGTTCATGCCCCCAGGCTCGCAGCCCTGCAGCCTCACCTGGCACCCCTCAGTGGCCTGGCACTGCCCCCTCTCCTGCTCCATCATCCACTGCGGTCTTGCTCTTATTGGGGCCCATCAGGGTCAGCAGCGCCTCCACTGCTGCCCACTGCCAGCACCATGTCACTGACATCTGCCGTGTTCTGTGCCACCCTCTGGTGGTCAGTGCATGTTATAGTGAGTAGTCGAACTCCCCGAGGGGACAATTTGCTAATCTGAAGAGATTCCCTCTGGGTAAAGAGAAGACAGTTGAGCGTCAATAGGACAAGAGCTGCAATGGCCTGAAACATATATGTGACTTAGTCTGTAATTTTATAATGAAACTTTTAAACAAAATTCTCATTGGTCACTTTTGGATGATGGAAATATGCTGATAATTTTGAAGGCTGATAAATACAGGGGAAGTATAAAGACAATTAAGCATATATCCTGCCTTCTTTTTGTGAACTTTAATATCTTAGGACAGCAATTTTCAACCGGTGTTCCACAAGAATTTTTAAAACATGCAATACCTGACTGTTTAGTCATGGGCACTGACCTCTTGTCCCTTAGATTGTCAAATTAAAAAATAACTGCCAATACAACAGTAGCCATCTGGTGTAAATAAATAAAAATGATACCTATTTTTGTCAAATCAGCAAAAAATACAGAATTCTGTGCCACAGAATTTTAATAATTAGTTTATGTGTGCCATGAAATGAAAAAGTTACCTTAGGGTAATCACACAGTTGAAGAAGAGAATTTTTTCTTTATAGAAGTAGTTAGTATATTGTTTAGTAAATGAAGAAGGGGTGATAGAAATTTATTGTTTGTAGCCCCCAATGAATGAATGTATCTGTGCAGTGACTATTAAAACCACTGACATCACAAAAAGGGAGAGACAAACAGACTGAATCTGCCTCTTGATGGAAAGATGTAACTCCAATTATGAAATACTAGAGGCCCAGTGCAGGAATTCATGCATAGATGGGGTCCAGCCATCCCGGCCCCAATTGGGGCGGATATGGGCTGGGCCTGTCAGAAGGAGGTGACGATGGGAGGTTGGCTGGCTGGCCTGCCCCTGACCAGGGCCTGTGGGGAGGGGCTGTGGGAGATTGGCTGGTGGGCCCCACCCCCGATTGGGGTGTGGAGAGGGGCTGTAAGTAGTGGGCCGATTGAGGGCTGGTGGCCTGGGAGAGGGGTTATGGGTGGTTGGCCAGCTGGCTCTGCCCCTGATTGGAGGGTGGGGGCCGATCAGGGATGGAGCTTGCTGGGTGGAGGGGCTGAAGGTGGTTGGTCAGTCAACTCTGCCTCTGATCGGGTAGGGGAGTCAATCGGGGCGGGGGGGGGCAGGTGGGAGGAGCGGCTATAGGAGGCTGGTGGGTTGCCCCCACCCCCCAGATTGGGCCAGTTCACTGGCTGCAGTGGGTGTCATAGCGACTGATCATTTTGGTTGTTAATGGTGTTCTGGTTGCTGGCTTTTAATATAGCCAAGAGTCAAATCTAAATTTTTAAAAAAATATATTTTATTGATTTTGTACAGAGAGAAAGTGAGAGAGATAGAGAGTTAGAAACATCGATGAGAGAGAGTCATCGATCAGCTGCCTCTTGCACACCCCCTACTGGGGATATGCCCGCAACTAAGGTACATGCCCTTGACCGGAATTGAACCCGGGTCCCTTCAGTCCCCAAGCCGACGCTCTTTCCATTGAGCCAAACCGGTCTCGGCTCAAATCTAAATTTGATCAAGAGTCAAATCCTTTCCCCCAAGAGTCAAATCTAAATTTGATCAAGCCTACCGATATTATAGAAAATATAGAGGTCAGTAGAAGAACAACTGGTTACCACAATGAGGCAACCAGGAAAGGCAGATTCAGAAAAACTCTATCCTATATAAGAAAGAGGTAATATGGAAATTGACCATCACTCCAACACACAAGATGTCTGCCCCCATGTAGACACAAGATGGCGCCACAAGATGGCCAGCAGGGGAGGGCAGTTGGGAGAGACCAGGTTTGCAGGGGAGGGAAGTTAGGGATGACCGGGCTGGCAGGGGAGGGCAGTTAGGGGCAACCAGGCCTACAGGGGAGGACAGTTAGAAGTGACCAGATCAGCAGGAGAGGGCAGTTAGGGGCAATTGGGTCAGCAGGGGAGAAGTTAGGCATCGATCAAGCCTGCAGGGGATTGGTTAAGGGGCTGATCAGGCAGGCAGGTGAGCAGTTGGGAACCAGCAGTCCTGTATTGTGAGAGGGCTGTCAGATATCCTTCAAGGGGTCCCAGATTGGAGAGGTTGCAGACTGGGCTTGGGGACACACACACACACACACACACACACACACCTGTGCACAAATTTTGTGCACCAGGCCTATCGTATAGGTTAAAAGGCTGAGTCAAGAAGTATGTGGCAAGAAAAAGAGATGGGATTGCAGAGGAGGAGAAAGAACAGACAGATTAAAATAGATTCAAGTGATACATCAACCATCTGTAATATAGATCTCATTTGGATCCTGATTGATTTGACTGAGCAAATTGAAAAAATCATTTTTGAAACATTTCAGAAAATTTGAACATGGACTATATATATATATATATATATATATATATATATATATATATTTAATGTTAAGGAATTACTGCTAATTGTTTAAAGAGTGATTATGTAAAAAGTTCTTTTCCTTTGTAAATCTATACTGAGATTATATTGGATGAAATTACATAATATCAAGAATTAGTTGGGTGGGGGTGGAGTGTGTAAAGGTATAGATCAGGGGTTGGTAAAGTATCTGTAAAGGATCAGATAATAAAAGTTTTAGGTTTTACTAGCCATGCGGTTTCTGTAACAGTTGCCCACCTCTACCTTTGAAGTGTGAAAGAAGCCACATACAGTATGTAAACAAGCATAGCTGTGTTCCAATAAAACTTTATTTACAAAATAGATAGCAGGCTGAATTCAGCCCACATGTTGTAGTTTGCTAACTTCTCCAGATCTCGATGAAAAGATTGACCATAAAGTTACAGTTGTTGAACCTAGGATATAAGAGGATTCATTATAATATTTTCTATACTTTTATATATATTTGAAAATTTTCATAATAAACTAGGTACCTTTTGGATAATTTCCCTTGTTTTGCATACAACTCCTACTAAGCTATTTAGTTATAGCTCTTATCTAAGAGGATTTTTTTGGCTGCATCCTACACGTCCTCTCCTGGGGATCGAGCCTGAAACCCAGGCATATGCCCTGATGGGGAATCAAACCCTGGCTTTCTGGTTCATAAATTGACACTTAGCCACTGAGTCATGCTGGTCAGTCAGGCGAATTTTTATCTTGAGCTCTCAAAGAAGCAATTGTTGGATTCTTTGATGTTAAAATGACATACCTCTAAATCATTTTCACTTGTTCAGTTCTCTGTATTCTTTTTTCTTTTTCTTTTTTTAAATATATTTTATTGATTTTTTTTACAGAGAGGAAGGGAGAGAGATAGAGAGTTAGAAACACCCATGAGAGAGAGCCATCGATCAGTTGCCTCTTGCACACCCCCTACTGGGGATGTGCCTGCAACCAAGGTACATGCCCTTGACCGGAATCAAACCCGGGACCTTTCAGTCCGCAGACCGACGCTCTACCACTGAGCCAAACTGGCTTTGGCCAGTTCTCTGTGTTCTGGTAAATAGTTTCTCTGTGCTCCATGGCTGACTATTACAAGTAATCACTCATTTTATTCCCTCATCTAGGCATCAGAGACAAGGTGTCGGACTGGGAGGAGTTCCTGCGGCAGACTCTGAAGGAAGCCTGTAGTCCTCCTGTCCCGCTGCTTGAGGGCGTGAGTATGATGGCTTGCAGGGTCAATGTGGAAAACCCTTCCAGTCTTCAGTGAGATTTCCTGTCTAAGGAATCTTAAAATCAGTTGCTCATTTACTACCCCAAGACAAATAGGCATTATTCTTAAAGACATAGGCATGTGTACTGGGAGGTTTAAGCTTATTGTCTTCAGAGGTTACAAACTGCCGGCTTGCTCAGTGCTGAAAGTATTCTGAATTAGTTGCTAACACATTAAAATCTAGTTTTCCAGATGCTGTTTTGTAGCTGGAAAATGTGGTGTTTTGGTGTTCTCACTCTGTAACAGAGAGAGAGAGAGAGAAAGAGAAACATCGGCGATGAGAGAGAATCATTGAACTGCTGCCTCCTGCATGTCCCCCCACTGGCATGTGCCTTGATGGGACATCGAACCATGACCTCCTGGTTCATAAGTTGACACTCAACCACTGAGCCACACTGGCTGGGCAAGACTCCCTTTTTTTCAGTCAGAAGACAGTAGATCTGTAATACTTCTACCACCTACTTGCTTTCAGCAGTCCTTTTACATTATTGTAGGTTTTTAGCTTGTTAGTAATCATAGATTTATTGTTTTTATAAAAATCGGTGTATTGGTTATGACATTTTTAAATTATATTTTGTTACATTGTGCAATTGCAAAATGTAATGTACAAAGTTTCCAATTTCTCTACATCGTTGACAATGCTTATATTCTCTTTTTGGTTATAGTTATTTTGGTTAGTATAAAGTAGTACCTCATTTTGATTTAGGGAAGTCACTCATCTCCCTAATGACTGAGGATGTCGAGCATCTTTAAAAAATATATATATTTATTGATTTTCCACAGAGAGGAAGAAAGAGGTATAGAGAGCTAGAAACGTCGACGAGAGAGAAACATCGACCAGCTGCCTCCTGCACACCCCCTACTGGGGATGTGCCCACAACCAATGTACATGCCCTTGACCGGAATCAAACCTGGGACCTTTCAGTCTGCAGACCGATGCTCTATCCAGTAAGCCAAACCGGTTTTGGCATCGAGCATCTTTTTAAGTGCTTATTTGTGGTTTCTGTTATCTTTCTAGAGAAATATCTTTGCCCATTTTTTAAATTTTAATTATTTATTTGTTTATATATTTATATGTTTTTTATTGCTTTTTTTTTTTTAAAGGGGGAAAGAGAGAAAGAGAGAGAGACAGACAGACATCTATTGGTTGCCTCCCATGGGCACCCCAGCTAGGGATTGAACCCACAAATTAGGTATGTGCCCTGACTGAGAATTGAATCCACAACTTTTTGGTGTAGGAGATCATTCTCCAATCAACTGAGCCACCTTGCCAGGGCGTCCATTTTTAAATTGGGTTATGTCTTTTAATTATTGAGTTGTAAGAGTTTCTTATGAATTCTAGTTGCAAGTCTGGATCAGATAAATGATTTCTAAATATCTCCAGTTCTGTGAATTATCTTTTCACTTTCTTGATATAATTTACAGCACAAACATTTTTTATTTTTATGTAGTCCATTTTATCTGGGGTTTTTTTGCTTGTGCTTTTGGTGTCATATCTAGGAAAGCTTTGCTTAACCTAACTCATTTCATTATGTTTAGCTAGGACTTTGTACATGTTAAAGACTCAGTAAAATTTGAGCAAATGCGTGAAGTCATGAACAAATGAATTAATAAGTATTCTGTATATTGACTTGATTCTGCCATTTTATCTTTAGCTGTGAATGTGTTTCCTCCACTTGTTCCCATGTTCATTTGCATAATAAGAATATGCAAGTGTCACAGAGCAGTTCTTATTAGAAAAAATGTAAGTTTGAATATTAAGAAATGGTTATGTAATAATGTTGGAATTAGCATTCCTCTTTATTCTTTATTGTAGCTTTTAATATATATCTAGAGTGTGAGACTTAAACTTTTCCTTTTTCTTGGTATAATCAAAGCACTGTGTTCTTAAGAACACTGTGAAATAAGTGAAAACATCAGGAACAACCTAAATGCCATTAGTATATAAATGGATCAATCACTGCCCATTTATAATACTGGATAGTAATAAAATAGTTTAAAATAATGGGGAAGACCTAGCCAGTTTGGCTCAGTGGATGGAGTGTTGGTCTGCAGACCAAAGGCCTGGGTTTAATTCTGGTTAAGGGCAAGTACCTTGGTCAGCCTGGACCCTGGTGCAGGAGGCAACCAGTTGATGTGTTTCTCTCACAATTGATCTTTCTCTCTGTCTTTCCCTCTCTCTTCCACTCTAAAAATCAATAGAAAAATATCCTCGACCAAGGATTAAAACTAATAATAAAACAATGAGGAACATTTGTATGTGCTATTATAGAAAGATAGCTGTGATTTATTAAGTGACAGGCACATATTGAAAGACAGTTTACAGTGTTCCTATTAAAATAAGTGAGAGAGTGAAAGACACAGACTTGTGTGTAGAAAACCCAGTCTCAGAGAATGTGTGTCAAAGTGTTTATTGTGTTTTTCTATTTAAAGGTGAGATTGTGAGGTATTTTGACTTCCATGTTTTTTTTTTCCCCTTTGATGATCATATTTGATTTTACAACCATCATCAGAGACTAATGATGATATTTTTAAATCATTATTAGATTAAACTATATAACATAATCCTCAAGGCAGAGATGTGTTAGGATAGTTTTATTGCATTACAGGTAGATTTTTTAAGACAAACATTTTATATCACCTATAAATAATATTATAGGTTCTTGTATTCTATTAGACAATTTAGTATTGCCGACTTTGAATGAGTAAAAATATAAAGGCTTGTTTGAGGTTATTTAAGCTTGACTTTGAAAAATATTATGTTAACTTTTCTTATTTAATATTGTCTCATTTTTTACCTACAGCTCCGTAACGGGAGGAATCCTTTAGATCTCATTGCTCCAGGATCCAAGCTAGAATGTCAAGCTTTCCAGGACACTCTGAGCACTTGGGTTGTTACTGTAGTAGAAAACATTGGGGGAAGGCTGAAGCTCCGTTATGAAGGACTTGAAAGTTCTGACAATTTTGAACATTGGTTGTATTACTTGGATCCATTTCTTCATCACGTTGGTTGGGCAGCTCAACAAGGATATGAACTCCAGCCCCCATTAGGTGAAGAGAAATATAACATTTTTCTTTTAACTATTATATTATCGTTATGTTTTTATTAATACTTATGAGGCTGAGAAAAGCATTATTCTGCATATTATAAAAGCCTTTGTTACTTTGCATAAAGATACTGAAAAAATATATAGGGAGTTGTTAAGCTAAACACCTATTATTATTTTCATTTTATTGCTTTTGAACTTTGCCACACATACTAATAATGCATCTTATAAATTTCTGCCTCACTTGATACTGACCTCTTACCAAAATTAAAGAAAAATTCCCTAGGTAACATTCATATTGGTATTGCAGTGGGACAGATCTTGAGTTCAAAGCAGATTGTTGATTAAGATATTATAACTGCAGTTAATGTTTAAATCAATTTGCATTTATGATTATGTGCCCCAATTTGGATGTTGTATTATGTTATTTTGTGGACTACAGCAATCCTTAATCTCACTATCGGTGTTTTCCCCTAAACTTTACTACCCAGGCTCTGAACTAAGGAGACAAAGAAGGTATAAGTTCTTTGAGTGAAGATGGTATAAGTGGGCTTGAACCCTTTCTTTCCCAGTGGAAAGTGATTTTTTTATTTATGTGAATGCTTTCACAATAGTTATTAATATGTATATTCTGTAGTTATTTAATGTTACCTGTCTTATTTTACTAAAGCCATCAGGCATCTGAAAAATGAAACTGAGTGGCAAGAGATCTTGGCCAAAGTGAAAGAGGAAGAGGAAGAGCCATTACCATCTTATTTATTTAAGGTAAAAACAAAAATGAATGAAACAGTCTGAGGGAGGTACAAAGCATAAAATAACCCTGGAGTCAGAGAGTGTTGTGGTGTCTGAAGGAGGGAAGAGGTTTGAAGGCTGGACCGATGCTCATCTTTTTCTTCTTCTAAAAATAGTCTAGATTTTCTCCCCAAAGACCTCTGAGAGCATTTTGAACCTTTTCTACCCTTAAAGGTTGTTTTTTTAAATTTCCAATTATGGCTGACACAGCATTACATTAGTTTCAGGTATACAACATAGTGGCAGGACATTTATGTAACTTACAAAGTGAACCCCCCAATAAAGTACCCAATTAACACCATACAGAGTTATACTAGAGGCCCGGTGCATGAAATTCGTGTATGGGAGCGGGGTGTTTCCTCAGCCCATCCTGCACCCTCTCCAATCCAGGACCCCTTGGGGGATGTCCGACTGCCGGTTTAGGGATCGGGCCATCCCTCTCACAATCCTGGACCACTGGCTCCTAATTGTTCACCTACCTGCCTGTCTAGTTGCCCCTAGCTGCCCCCCCTGCAGGCCTGATCGCCTCTCACTGTGTCTGCGTGCTGGCCAGATTGCCCTCAACTGACCTCTCCCTACCGACCTGGTCACTCCTAACTGTCCCCTCCCCTTCGGACTGGTCACCCTTATTGCCCCCCCTGCCCCCCAGCAGCCTGGTCGCCCCCAACTGTCCCCCTTTCCCTCTGCTTGCCTGGTCAACCCACACAGCCTGCTGTTCAGTTATTTGGTAGTCCCTCACTAATCACCCTGCCAGCTTGGTCATAGGCAGCCATCTTGTGAGGGCATGAGGGTCAATTTGCATATTACCACCTTATTATATAGGATTATTGTTATATTTCCTATGCTGAATTCTACATCCGAATTACTGTTTTATAATTGGTAATTTATACTTCTTAATCCCTTCAAAGTGAAGGAATTTTTCCTACTCTTAACTAAATAGTTTTGACTTACCAAGTAAACTTGTTTTTCTGTCAGATAGCTTTTGTGTTAAAAATGTAGAGTAGGAGTGCTTCCTGTAGTTTTATTCCTGAATAATGTTTTTCAGGGAAGAAAATTATAAGATTAGGTTATTTAACAGAAATTGGACAGGTCCATTTCGTGAGCCACATGCAGCTTTTTGGCCCCTTGAGTGTGGCTCTTCCACAAAATACCACGGCCTGGGTGAGCCTATTTTGAAGAAGTGGTGTTAGAAGAAGTTTAAGTTTAAAAAATTTGATTCTCAAAAGAAATTTCAGTTGTTGTACTGTTGATATTTGGCTCTGTTGACTAATGAGTTTGCTGACCACTGAACTAAGAGGTAGTATTCAGTTATATATGAGCATAAAATTAATGTGAAAATACTATGTTCCTATTCCCTCTTGGTGTTGCATTTCAGGACAAACGAGTGATTGGTACACATTCATTCTCTGTCAATATGAAATTGGAAGCTGTGGATCCGTGGTCTCCTTTTGGGATCTCTCCTGCTACAGTTGTTAAGGTAAAATGGGGGCAACTTTCTTGGTAAGAATTCCTGTCAGGGTGACTGTTTGGGAAATTAGTATTTAGGTTTCAGGCTCTCCTAATCCAACCCATTGCACTGCCCAGTTCTCTGTGGCCTATTCCTTCTTTGGAGATTGGTTGCCCCAGTGAACCAGAGCGCGGGCACCAGAGTGGAGGGGCGTGCTGCTGGGGGGCAGGCCTGCCTGTAGTAGAGGAGAGCCAGCCGGCAGGTGCGCCATGGCACCTGAAAAGCTTGGAGACGTGGTGTCACTGTGTCCAGCCAGGTTCAGGGATGTGTGGGCAGCAGGTGGGCAGTGTCACAGGGTCTGCCACTTGGATTACCCAGCCATGGATTCCAGGCTCCGACTTTAATCTTTTGAAAGACTGACAAAAGTAAGGCTCTTGTGCCCTAACTGGTTTGGCTCAGTGGATAGAGTGTTGGCCTGTTTACTAAAGGGTCCCAGGTTTGATTCTGGTCAAGGGCATGTACCTTGGTTGTGGGCACATTCCCAGTGTGGGGTGTAAAAGAGACAGCTGATAGATGTTTCTCTCTCATCGATGTTTCTAACTCTCTATAAAAAATCAATAAAACATATTTAAAAATAAAAAAGTAAGGCTTTTGTTAGGAGTAGCCACAAGAACTGGGCAGCTATCAAGGCCCAGTTACTCAGTTACTAGAACTGGGGCATAAAGGAGAGAATATCAGTTGAAAAGCCCCATTTACTGAAAGTAAAACCAAAAGTTGTGCATAACTAGAGGAATAGTTGCTTTGATGCTGAGTCATCCAACCTGTTAAGATTTAAAGTTTCTTTGCTTTGGAAAAAGAGTCATTCTTAGAATGGGGAGGAATTCTGACCCTGCAATGGGTCAGGAGACAGTAACTGGAGTCTAAAGGCTGTGGGGTGGTAAGGAGCCAGAGGAGGCTCATGCAATCTCTTTGGCATTTGAAATTAGGCTAGGATCACATAAATGCGTGCATGGACACATACACATAAAACTATTCATCTATTTTATCATTGTATGTACAGGTTTTTGACGAGAAGTACTTTCTGGTGGAAATGGATGATTTGCGACCAGAGAATCATGCAAGGCGATCCTTTGTGTGTCATGTCGACAGTCCTGGCATTTTCCCTGTGCAGTGGAGCCTGAAGAATGGTTTACACATCACGCCCCCTCCTGGTATTCATTCTATCCTGAATTGTTTATCAGGAACTTTCCTTTGAAATGAGATTTATCAGATACATTACCTGGATCTCTTGTCCCTTTCTCTCTTTATGCCCCAGGCTATCCTTAACATTTCGGAGCTCAGGACAATTATAAATGAAGGCCAAGTTCCATATATTTAATATTTGAAAGTTATAAATTGTTAAGCTACTAAATGAAGTCTGATCTGTCCTACCTTGACAAATGCATCTTCATGACAACCTGGGGTTCCATGTGGTTCCTTAGTTCCTTCCATCTTGTTTCTGTTGGGAGGTCACAGAAGAGTGGGAATAGTTTGTGCAGTGGATATTGGGAGCTGACTTATGAGGAGAGATGTGAGAGCCAGAGCTAGGAGGTAAATTATTGGTGATTTTTAGGTATCTGGGCCTTATCTTAGAGGGAGACTGTTCAGATTCCAGAGAGAGGTTTATGGTCAAGAGTAGGACATAGAGGGGCTGTAGATAGGAAAGTAGCAGCTCATGTTCTGGTGTTTGCAGCTTTGCAAAATATAATCTTTGACCCTTTAATCAAAACTTATAAATATGACTTTGTTGAACTTGAATGAAATTTTTAATATTTTTTTTAACTTGGAATATTTGGAAGTGTCAGACATTTCTCTGACTTTTCTATGAGCAAATGAGATTGGTTGGCAGACTCTGCATCTTTTTTTAGTAGGCTTCTGGTGAAGTCAGCTAAATGCTGACTGCTGGGGCCTGGGGATGGGAGTGCCCTGCGTGTGAGGAGCCATGAACTCAGAACTTTTGCCTTCCATTCAGTTTTCTTTCATCCAGCAAACGTTTATGTAATGTTTGCTATGAACCAGCATTGGGCTTGTCTCTAGGGGTTACAACACATTTCATTCAAGGAGCAAGAGGAAGGACAGTAACAGAGCCTCCCAGGTCCCCCTTTGTCGGTGGACAGAGGGAGAGCCTGCCTGGTGGGGATGGGGGGAGGGCTCATCTGCAAGAGCAAGTTCTTGTTTTTTAGGAAGGCTGTGTGCATCCCAAGTTCTTTTCCTGCCTGCTGACTATGGTGAAAAGGAAAACCCATGATGAAAGCTATTGGAGCTTTCAGCATTATTCTAGACAACTCAGCTGTCTTTGTAAATAGAAGGAAGTAGTGGAATATCTCATTGAAAATGGCAGGTAATTTACTGAGGAACTGAAGTGGAGGCAGAGGTAGAACATGATACCAATCTCAGTTGGGCAGAAGAGGTGATTGCAGGGCTGTATGGCTGTAGGACTGGCACAGTCATGAGTGGCTTGCTTGGTAACTGTGAGAATCAAGCTCTGCAGAGCCAAGAGACCTCAGACACAGCAGGCGCAGCCCAGCTCCTTGCACACAGATGCGGACACTTCTACTCGGAACCTGGTAGATTTAAGTGGACAGTTAAGTTCAACTTTTTTTCTAAAATGAATTCATGACTCATGTTATAAGAGCATTGACATTCTGTAGGGCATGAATCATAGTCAAGATTATCACCTTCGTAGGAGCTAAGATATGTTTAAGGAAATAGCTTTATGAAAGAAAAAAGTCTTCACTGACTAAATAGTACTGCTGTCTCGCCTTTAGAGCCTGAGTCATAATAGGATTTATAAGATGAGATTTATTGGTAGAAATCAAATCCAATTATAACTGTCTTAATTTTTTTGGTAAATTGCCAGTAATTAATCATATAAAATATTGCTAAAAATAAATGACTAGTTTGAAATTGAAAGTTTAAAAATTTATCCAAAGAATTGTATTGGGATCTAGTTTGACCACATTTGTTCTGTTTTATAAAATTAACAATGCTTGGGTTTATAAGGTGTTTTATCCCCGTCTCTAGAATGATCAGAATCCCCAAATTGGCAAAATTAGAAGTTGTGGGTGCATATTTGGCAGAGCAATAAAGTCAGGCATGCTTTTGTGATGTGAATCGTTTTTGTATTACATATGTCTCCTTCTCTCCCCATTATCCCTCTCTCCGGCCACGCCCACCCCCCCAGGATATGGCCCCACTGCCCCAGTGTCCATGTCTATTGGTTATGCTTATATGCATGCATACAAGCCCTTTGGTTGATCTCTTTCCTCCCAATCCCTTCCCCTTCCTTTCCTCTGAGGTTTGACAGTCTGTTCAATGCTTCTCTTTCTCTGGATCTATTTTTGTTCATCAGTTTATGTTGTTCATTATATTCCACAAATGAGTGAGATCATGTGATATTTATCTTCTCTGACTGACATTGTTCTCTTGTCTCTACCTAGGCTACCCTGGCCAGGACTTTGATTGGGCCGACTACCTCAAACAGTGTGGTGCTGAAGCTGCTCCCCAGAGGTGCTTCCCTGAGGTGAGAAGCCCTCGCAGCCACTGCTTCCTGTGCTGTTTATGATGAGTACTCTGAGGTCAACCCTCTCACTCAACCTGAATAAGCATCTTGTTGATTGTAATCAAATGGTCCAAGGAAAAAATCCATTCACTGCAGAAGCTAATTTGTTTATTTATTTATTTATTTATTTATTTTTTAAAATATATTTTATTGACCCTGTACAGAGAGGAAAGGAGAGAGATAGAGAGCTAGAAACATCGGTGAGAGAGAGTCATCAATCAGCTGCCTCCTGCACACCCCCCACTGGGGATGTGCCTGCAACCAAGGTACATGCCCTCAACCGGAATCGAACTCGGGACCCCTCAGTCCCCAAGCCGACGCTCTATCCACTGAGCCAAACCAGTTTTCGGCCTAATTTGTTAATTTAATTATTTAAAGTTTATCAGTTTTATTTTCTATTAACTAAAATGTGAATTTAAAACTGTAGTTCATAATGATTTTTGACGGTTCAATAAAATGAAAAAATATTAAGTGGAAAAAATTATTGAACTTATTTAAAACTACTCTATCAAAATAATTATGTTATTAACATAATAATAAATAATTTATTTATCAAAATAAAACCATGCACATGGTTTACAAAGCCAAACAGCAGTAAAAAGCTTAGAACATTAAACAACAGTTCTTGCCCTAACCAGTTTTGCTCAGTGGCTAGAGCATTGGCCTGCGGACTGAAGGGTCCCACATTCAATTCCGGTCAAGGGCATGCACCTTGGTTGCAGGCACATTCCCAGTAGGGGTTGTGCAGGAGGCAACTTATCATTGTTTCTAACTTTATCCCTCTCCCTTTCTGTCTGTAAAAAAAAATCAATAAATTATATATTTTTTTAAAAAATAAGGAAAAAACCCTACACAATAGTTCTCTGTCCTGACTCTTTCCAATATCCCTTCCCACAGCAATCACTTCTACTCTTCTTACTGTTGTTCTGATAGTTACCTTCTCATTTCCAAAATAACATGCTGTTTTTTGAATTATTCATTTTAAACATGTCTATTGGTTCTACATTATGATAAATGAACATTCAACTATTTTATATCACCTTTCTCCTCTGTCTTACCCTCACCTCTTCTTTCTATTAAATTAATGTTACAATTTTTGGTTCAATTTGAATTAAGTGTTTATATTATTATGTGCATTCCGATATTATTCATAGCTTAGAACTGCAATATTTTATGATTGGTTCCTTCTTTAATTGCCTTGTTTTTCATAGCTTAATTTTCTTTGTTTTTTTTGCTAGTTTTTCCCACACCTTCCAGTAGCCTGTCATAACTATTTCCACAAAAGCAATCACATTAAGAAATCTGTCATTCCCCTACTTTATGAAACAATTTATTTGAGAGATAGGAAAGGCATGAATAATATATGCAGCTGTTCCCTTATCTGACTCTGTCAGACAGATAATTAGTGGGTTAATTGAAAGTCAGATAAATCAGGGAACCATTTTTTGATGAAGCAGTCTTTTAATTTAAGATGTATAAATATGCATTCATTTGTTTATCTTTTGGTAAGACTTTTCCTTTGAGTATGGATTGTCAACAAGTGTTCCTTCGAGTCTTTTCTTGCAAGAACTATACCTAACATAAACTCTGATTTTCAGTAAATTGACAACTTTGTTACTTTGAAACAATTTGAATGTAAAATTCTTATACAACCAGACACTTTTGCAGGTGTCTGAAGTTCTGCCGTTAGCACATATTGCTTTGGCTCCTCCCACCTGGTACATGGGCCTGAGTGAGGTGATGATTGTACAGAACTCAAACAGCATTCCCCCTCCCACTCCCCCACCCCGTACCCCCAATGCCTGGGTCATAGTTCCATGTTTGGAGCCAAATACTCACATAGTGCCCTGTGCTATTTTCCAGAGTCTCCTTGGTCCAGCTAGACTTGTGTATTTTCTTTCTAGTTAAAGGGTTTTGTTGTTGTTTTAGGATAGAGGGGTTAAAATATAATATGTTCTCTAGCTGCGTTTTCTTTTTCTCATATACTTGCCATTCTGACACCCTCATGTAGGAAATATAGTGACATAGTCTTATCTAATATTTTTCTTAGAGGTATCCTTCTTAGCAACCTCCATTCTCTCTCCCTGGATGGGTTGCTCTCTAGGGTTGCAGTGTAGTTTTAACCCTGGAAACTGCCCCCCAAGGAATTGACTCTCCCCTTTCTGTTCTGTGTAGCTTGTGGCCTCCTCTTTTTTGGTGTACTCTCTTGTTTTGATGGAGCTTGTCTCTCAGTAGCTTCCTGAAATGTGGTGTAAGGGAGGTAAATTTTGGTAGGCTTTACATGTTTGAAAATGTCTTCATTATACTAATTTGATTGATTGATTGGCTCAATGTGGAATTTTGAGTCAGAAGTTATTTTACTTAAGAGTTTTGAAAATATTACTTAGTTGTTTTCTACCTTCCAGTGTTGCTCTACCTTTGAGGCAAGTTGAAAGCCATTCATTTTCTTGATCTTTCATAGAGGATCTGCCTTTTACTTCTTCCTGGAAGGTTATAGAATCTCTCACCACGTTTCACAGTGATGAGCTATGGGTGGCCTCTCTTCATTCACATGCTGGCTTTTCAGTGAGCACCTTCTCTCTGGACATTCTTACCTCTCTATGGGGCGGTTCTCTTGAATTTCTTCTTTGATTTCCTTCCATTTCTCTATTTTCTTTTTCTAGGATTTTTGAATTTGTATGTTGAGGTTCTGGATGAGATCTCTGCTTTCTTGTTTTCTATTTCTTAGTCTTTTTTGCTTTGCTTGCTGCAAGATTTCCTAACCTTTAACTTTCAACTCTTCTTTTCATTATTAATTAATTTTGAGAGAGAGAGAGATAAACATTGATTTGATGTGCCCTGACCAGAGATCAAACCTGAAAACTTGGTGTTATTGGGTCAATGTTCTAACCAACTGAGTGACCTGGTCAGGGCTTTCAGACCTTCTTTTGATTTTTCAATTTTTAATATCATAGTTTTGATATCCAGAACTATTTCTGTACTGAGTATTTGGTTTTAATAGCATATTATTCTTGTTTTAAGGACGCAATCATTTTTTGTTTTTGTTTTTGTTTTAAGTTTATTGATTTCAAAGAGGAAGGGAGAGAGAAACAGCAGAGATGAGAGAGAATCATTGATTGGCTGCCTGCCGCATGCCCCCTACTGGGGATCGAACTTGCAAACCAGGCATGTGCCCTGACGTGGAATCGAATTGTGACCTTCTTGTTCATAGTTCAGTGCTTAACCAGGGAGCCACATGGGATGGGTACGATAGTTTTCCTTGTCAGAGGATGTTAATTATCCCTTCCTTTTGGGAAGTTTTCTTCTCACTTAATCTGTTTTTTCCAAATTGCTTGCTTTGTTTGTCTTGGTCTCTAGCTTTCATATCTTTAAATGTCTTGTAATTCTTGGTTGGTTGCTTATATTTAAGAATGGGAGACTAAAAGAAAAAGCTGACTGGGAGCTCTGAGTGTATTGGTGGGGCTTGTTAACCTTGAACTTCCCTATAGGGTGGGTCTGGCTGGTCATTTGTTGGGGACACCTAATCCATATTTTTATGTGTTTCTTCTTGGGCTTATCATGTTACCGTAAGAAGTCCCTTCCAGGCCTTTGCCTGGAGAGCAGAGGCAAGGGCTGAGTCTCTCACATTCCATTTGCAAATCCTGTTTTGGGCACTGCATGCATTCCTTCTACAGTTCCCGTGTCCTCCTGCTCAGGGTATCGTGCGTTACCGTCTCTGGAGGGTAAATTTCATCTCATGTAGGGGAGGGGAAGGGACAGTTGTCCTGAGCTGTGGAGTGGAGGAGCTGATGGCATGACCTGAAGTTCAACAAATCTTTTTGTTTTACCTATTTCTCTTCCAAAACTAATTGCCCCCTACCTGCTGCTGCCAATTTTTAGCCTTCTTCACTGTCAGCTTAGATTTACTTTTCTTTAATCTGCTGAGTTAGTTCTAGATCCTATTCTGAATTTTACCTTATAGAATGTTGTCTCCTTTCCTGTTTATCCTAGCAGGTTTATATCTTAAAAAAAAAAACACATAACAAAACTCCTTGATTTTAGTGAGTTGTCAAAAGAAAGATAAAACAATCAGCCGACACCGGTTTGGCTCAATGGATAGAGCGTCGGCTTGGGGAGTGGAGGACCCGGGTTCGATTCCGGTCAAGGGCATGTACCTTGGTTGCGGGCATATCCCCAGTAGGGGATGTGCAAGAGGCAGCTGGTCGATGACTCTCTCTCATCGATGTTTCTAACTCTCTATCTCTCTCCCTTCCTCTCTGTACAAAATCAATAAAATATATTAAAAAAAAAAGAAAAGAAAGATAAAACAATCAAATACAGTTCAGTTTTTTATTTTGACTCAGGAGCTGCACATTTTAAGACATACATTTGAAATGACCCTTTCCCTTTATTCATGAGCATTGTTCATCCTCACTGCCTTTTATGATACACATGGTGGTAGGAACCAGACAGATTATTGTATGGTGGGGACCTTTATGGGAGGATCAGCAAACCAATAGTGGTGGGAAGCCATCTGATTCAGGCACAGAGCCTTAGGTATTTTATGGAAACATCATACTAACCCAGTGAGACAGGTGTTCTCAATTTCATCTGACATAAGAGGAAACTGAGTCAAAAGAAGTCATGTAACTTGAACAAAGTCACAAAGCAAGCAGTAATGCAGGTATATCTGACTTAAGAGACTGCCTATAACACCAAAAAGAAAGACTTTTTCCCGTTACTTATCTTCCAAGCAAAATAGACTTATGGCCTTAAAGTATTACTTTAGGATTAACTCTCATAGGTCTCTAAGATTAGCTCATGAATTAATATTTAGTATTTTTTGGACTTACTTTCTAGTCAGTTTCTGAGCACGAGTTTAAGGAGCACATGAAGCTGGAGGCGGTGAACCCCCTGCTCCCTGAGGAAGTGTGCGTGGCCACCGTCAGTGCTGTGCGCGGCTCCTACCTGTGGCTCCAGCTGGAGGGTGAGTGCCAGAGCCCCGAGAAGCCTCTGGGGCCACTCTTTTCTGCCTTTTCTGTTCACCCCTATAAGGTGGTTTGTTAAACTTAATCCATTAGCTAAAGAGGACTCTTATTCAGAGACTTCTAATTTATAATGTGTGATCCTAAGGTAAGAATTTCTTTTCTTGTTCTTGACTTTCGAATTTTGAGAAATGAATGTAAATAAAAAGCCTTTACTACAGTGTCCCTTGTTTTCTTGAAGGGGAAAGAATAAGTCAAATATCATATATTCTTATTTGACCAAAACATATGGGCACATGCATTAACAACTGGTTCATTCAAGAGATGATACTTTGGCTGTCCCCATCCATTAGAATAAAAAAATATGTAAAATAAAAGAGATCTATTATACTAAAAGTACTAATAGCCAACAGTTGGACAGATTTGTAGATAGAAGCACAGGGCACGTACTCAGCTCTGCAGTTACTGTGTATGGCCTGGGTTTCGTTTTTATTCAGCTGCCACATAGACTCAGTACTTTCTGTTTTCAGTTTGTAGAATTGGCATTTGGTACAGATATGGAGGACAGTATTGAATATAAACTTTGTTTTTTTAACCCCAGCTCACCTAACGTCACTTCCTGATTTGAATTCACTGATCTGCCTTTGGCTTGTCCCATGTGCCACAACTGATGTTGAATAGAATTGTCACTTTTACCGTTTTCCAATTATTTCTTGGAGTTGACTGATATCTTGTCAACTGTCTGAATGATACTGCTGGTAGTTTCAGTTGCTTATTTGCTATTCTCTAAATAAGGGTCACCTATATATTCACCAACCATTTAGGTCTTTATGTAGCTATGCATGAGATTAACTTTTTTTCCTTAATGTTTGTCACATGTGAAAAAGGAATTTAAGAGTCCTGTGTCTGTATACATAATAGAACATTGATTGTCTAGAAAGGTGTTTATGAAAAAGGATATTCAGTGGCCTAAATACTTTTTTTTTTTTTTTTTTTTAAATCTAAGCAGGTTCTAAGAAGCCAATACCTGAATGTATAGTGAGTGTGGAATCCATGGATATATTTCCTTTGGGCTGGTGTGAAACCAACGGCCATCCCCTCAGCACTCCTCGTCGAGCACGAGGTACCTGTCTTTCTGGGCCAGAGGATTGGTTGTTAAATAATCTGTTGAGTGGCAGCTACCAATCAGGATGAATCTGGACATTTCAGAGAAAAACAAAATGATATCCTGGTTATTTGTTCCTGTATAGGGGATTGTTTATTGTAACAGACATTTATCATCTGACTGTTTCTGTAGGTCAGGAATCTAGGCACAACTTAGCGGGTCTTGCGGGTCCGTCTCACACCTGCAACCCAGGTGTCAGCAGGGCTGCCTTCACCGCAGGCCCGACTCGGGGAGGACCCGCTCCCAAATTGACACAGAGGAGTGTTGGCAGGAACTCATTTCCTTGTAGACTATTAGACCAAGAACCTCCGTTTCTTTTCTTTTCTTTTCTTTTCTTTCTTTTTTTTTTTTTTTAAACATATTTTATTGACTTTTTACAGAGAGGAAGAGAGAGGGATAGAGTTAGAAACATTGATGAGAGAGAATCAGCTGCCTCTTGCACACCTCCTACTGGGGATGTGCCCGCAACCAAGGTACATGCCCTTGACTGGAATCGAACCTGGGACCTTTCAGTCCGCAGGCCAGTGCTCTATCCACTGAGCCAAACCGGTTTCGGCAGGACCTCAATTTCTTGCTGGCTGTTGGTGGGAGATTTTCCTCAGTTTCTTGCCATGTGGTCCATTTTTTAGGGGAGCTCACAGTGTAGCAGTAGGGTGTGATCAGCCAACAAGTGAGAGAGCAAGAGAAGTTGAGCAAGATGGAAGCCAGAGTATTTCCGTAACCTGATGCTAAAGTGACCCACTCCCCACCCCCTTTTAAAACAGCTTTATTGAGATACCATTTGTATTTGTATAGCATAAAATTTGCTCTTTTAAAGTATACACGTCCTCAAATAACATAGTTTGTTCAACATCATATCATTACAGAATTGATGAGATGCCATAAGAACTTAACTCTTGTTCATATCAGTTAACCTTTGGAGAAATTGGTTTTGCTATATGTCATTTTGCTTGAAGTCATAGAATCTATTGAAGATGTTAAGTGAGAACTTACTGTATACAGTTCAGTGGTTTTTAGTATATTCACAGAGTTTTGCCACTGTCATCTCAGTCAATCTGAGAACATTTCATCATCTCAAAAGAAAACCACACTCCTTAGCAATCACCTCTTTGCCTCCTGCCCTGCAGCCCTAGCCCCTACTAATCTAGTTCCCATCTCAATAGATTTGCCTGTTCTGGACAGTTCCTATGAATGAAATTGTACACTCTGTGGTTTTTTGTGACTGCTTCTTTTAGTATAATGTTTTCAGAGTTTATTCATGTTTTAGTATGTATCAATTCATTTGTTTATATATTTCTGAATAATATTCCATTGTTGTACCACATTTTGTTAATCCTTGCATCAGTTGATAGATACTTGGATTATTTTCATTCTTTAAGCTATTATGAATAATGATTTTGTACAGATTTTTATATGGACTTAGGTTTTCATTTCACTTGAGAATAGCACTCTGTGTGTAACACTAACAGGCTGTTTTTCAAAGCAGCTGCACCATTTACATTTACAGCAACAGTGAGGGTTCCACTCTTCACATTCTCCCAACACGAATTTTCTGCGGGTGTTTGTTTGCTATTTATAATAGCCATCCTGGTAGGTGTGGGGATGGCATCTTAACTGTGGTCTCGATTTGCCTTACCCTAACGACTAGTTATGTGGAGCATTTTCTCATGTGCTTATTAGTCATTAGTGTATCTTCTTTGGATAAATGTCTGTTCAAATCATTTGGCCATTTTTTTTTATTGTTGAGTTGTAGGATTTTGTTACATATTCTAGATATTCTTTATCAGAAATATTACTTGCAAATATCTTTTCCCATTCTGTGGGTTGCCTTTACTTCTCTTGATAGTTCCTTTGGTGCACAAAACTTCTTAATTTTGATGTAGTGCAACTTATTTTTTCTTTTGCTGCCTGTGCTTCTGCGGCCATAACCAAGAAATCACTGCCAAATCTAATGACATGAATATTTCCCTCTGTGTTTTCTTCTAAGAGTGTTATAGTTTTATCTCTGAAGTTTAGGTCTTTGATCCATGTAGAGTTATTTTTTATATGTGGTGTAAGGTAGAGGTCCAACTTCATTAATGTGGATATTCAGTTCTCCCAGCAGCACTGGTTGAAAAGACTAATTTCTATACTGTGTGCATTGGCACCCTTGTCAAAACTAGTTTTTATTTTGAATATCTATTCCTGCTTAAAAAATATTCATGGGAGTTAATTGTCCCAGGGAACCTTGAAAATATTATTTTTGGTCTTTGTTTCAAGACCCAGAAACTGTGCTTTAGTCTAGATATTCAGACATATCAGCACTTATTTATAGTACTTGCTAGTTATATGTACATATAGGATTCAAATATGCTGTGTTATGTTAATACATATGTAACTTTTCCTCTGTCTTTTACTTTTTCTTGACTTACACATTATTGTTTTCTTCTTACAGTACACAAACAAAGGAAAATTGCCGTGGTTCAGCCTGAAAAACAGTAAGTAACATAACAGTATGTTCGAACAGTTGATATTAGGAAGTTAGAATTTCTAGAAAAATAAATAATTAAGAGTATATCTTCTCACGTGTTAATTTCTCAGATGGAAGCATAATCCTTTAATTCAGCCTTTGATAGTTTATATACTTTTCCTTACAGTTTATATATTTCCTAAAATGGCATTATATACAGAGGGGTAAAATCCACTCTCAAGATGTTCCCCAAATTGAGTTTTCTTTGGCTTTGAGAGCTGGGAGGCATTTGAGTAAGAGAGAAAATAAATCCCATGCTGGGATTTATTAAGGAAGAGCAAAAATGGTAAAGTAGGGCGTGATTTGTGCAACACTGAAGCTAGAAGACAGTTGAAAGGGAAAGGTATATGAAAGGAGTGCCTTTGTGTCCCGTCAGGAGTTCTCTGTAGCACATCTGCCTACGAGCTTCAGAGAAGCGGCTGGTCAGTGTTGCCTTAAAAATACAAGGGTTTCTGTGTGTGTGCGCGTGTTGTTCTTAAACATTGGGTTTTTGATTTTGTATTAGTTTGCTCAGGCCACCGTAACAAAATGCCACAGACTGGGGGCTTAGACAAATTTACTTCTCACAGTTCTGCAGTCTGGGGAGTCCGAGATCAATTTGGTTCTTGGTCAGGGCTCTCTTCCTCGCTGGCAGACTCTCACGGTGTCTTCACATGGAAAGGATGGAGAGGAAAGGAGATCCTTGTCTCTTCCTCTTCGTATAAGGCAACCAATCCTATTGGATTAGAGCCCGATCCTTTTACCTTCTAAAAACCCTACCTCCAAATACAGTCACATTGAGGATTAAGTCTGTGGCATGGATTTTAAAGAGACACAGTTCTGGTTATAGCAAATTCTGTATAATTTACATCTGCTTTTGTGGCTATGCGAGTAATAAAACTGACACTAGAAGTAGGAAGGCCATGGAGTTCTAATCTAGGTAGTGATAGCAGTGACAAAAATCTGGCCTTGGATTTTTCTTTCCTTGACTTAGTTATCGAGACTGATCCAAAGTTTTAGTCAGGAAGTATTCTAAGAAGATAAATTAGTCTTTTCAGTGATTGCTGCAAATACAGTAATTCTCATTTTTAATAATATAATTTGTCTTTAATTTTTAAACTGATGGAAGAAAACAGACTCTATATTAAAAATGTTTCTGTTCTTTGACAATTAAAAACAACAAATAGTCTACTTGCGTTTTTAGAATCCCAGAAGGAATTCTATGATTGCTGCTAATACGAATGGAAGTTTGTCTGAACCTGCAGTATCCTCTGCCTGTAGACTGTTGGCCCCCTAGGCTGTGTACAGTCGCCAAGGAAGCACCTTCTGTTACAGACTTTGCAATCTGCCACCTTTGCTTTCTTCTTAGATTTGAAGGAAACTAACCCTCACACTTTACTGACGTTACAGATTATCTTACCATTTTGTTGTGTTTTCTTGACTCAGAATGCCATCCTCGCGGACTGTCCATGAGGGCCTGAAGAGTCGGGAGCTGAACTCCACAGACTCTGGTATGAGCTAGTGCATGCAGTCATAGGGAAAGAGGACCTTTCTGTTCTTTAATGGACTCTCTCTAAAAATAAACAATACATTTGGTTTATGCAATGTAGCTTCAGAGGGGTCTCTTAATTGTGATTTTTGTCTTAAGATATACTTATTAACAATGATCTTTAAGCTTACATCTTTGTTCATTTACATTGTCTACAGAATTAAGACATTATCTCCCACATGACCACAGTCAAGTTTGGGTTTTGTGATAGGTCAGTTTACCTTGTGAAAGGAGCCTTAAGACTGATCACTTACTGGGTGCCAAGGGCTCCGGAGGTCAATATTATTATCCCTGAGTTTAGATAAAGAAACAGGCTTGCCCTGATTGGTTTAGCTCAGTGGACAGAGCACTGGGCTGTGGACTGAAAGGTCCCGGATTCAGTTCCAGTCAGGGGCATGTACCTTGGTTGCAGGCATGATCCCCAGTAGGGTGCATGCAGGAGGCAGCGGATTGATGTTTCTAACTCTCTATCCTTCTCCCTTCCTCTCTGTAAAAAGTCAATAAAATAAAAAAGAAACAGGCTTTCCAGGCAGTGTTCTTTCTTAAGTGGGGTGGTTGCAAGGTGAGTGTTTATTCTTCTTTAAACCTTTGTATGATATGCACAGTCTTTATATCTATATCTATCTATCTATCTATCTATCTATCTATCTATCTATCTATCTATCTATCTATCTATCTGTGTGTGTGTGTGTATACACACACACACACACATTGTGAAATATATATATATTTAAATTTAAAAAGCACTGGCAAAACAGGTTGTCCAGAGGCAATACCTGACCAATGAGACAAGGCTCTTTTTAGAGGCCAGCAATCTCCCTGGACTACTCCTGCCCCCCCCAGTGCTTGCTGTGTTACACTCAGCATCTTGGCTGTGGTAGTTAGTAAATGCCTAGAAAAGAAAAGAAACCAAGGCTTGGAGAGATCATACAGTTTGAGTAGAAGGGTCAGAAATGGAACTCAAATCTTTCTCAAGTTCAAAACCTGTGTTTTTTTTTGGTCTCTTTTACCCACTGCCTTTTCATTATATCATTTATACGTAAGAGGATCAGGGCTGTGTAACTCATTCTTGATGTATTACTATGCCTACGGAAACTACAGAATTAAGACATTAATATCTCTCACATGACAGTAGTCAAGTCTGGGGTTTGTGATAGGTCAGGTTACCTTGGAAAAGGAGTCTGAAGGAGTTTTATTGGGGAGTACTTTTGGGAACAACTCCTTGGAGGGGTAGAGGAAGCAGGACTGGGCAGAGGGAGAAGTTGAGCCACATTCAGAATATAGAATTCCAGTCCCTCAGGGAGCCTTGGCACTGCTATTGCCACTCAGACTCGTCCCTAATTGAAGCAGTTCCTGGAAATACGCTGCTGCTCCCTCTCCACCTCACGAAGGCTAGGGTCTTCGGCAAGGTGGCTCTCCTGGTGAGGGAGGCCTAGACTGAGGGAGGGTAATTCCAGGATAGACTTCAGCCCAGAGCCATAAACTGTCAACGTTCCCAGCAGCAGGGAGCGTAAGTGCCTTAATCCTGAAAGGGCGGATCTGGGTGGTAGAGTTCACATGCAGAAGTGGACACCGACACACTGATCCGTCTGCCAACCCTGCATTCTTAGTAGCATTATGTCCTGCAGGTCCTGTCGACAGTGGGCAGTGCACACACATCTCCTTTCCTTAATGTTGGCTAACAGCATCAGTCAGAAAAACTTCTCGCTGTTTGATATAAAATGAAGATGTTTTAGTGTCTGAGTTTTTTTATTCCATTGCTGACTTGCCAATCACTATGAGGGGATTTTTGAAAAATACTATATTGAAGTTCAGTATTCATATATAAAAATGGTTATAGAGAGAGGACTCTAGGCCCAGGCATACCCTACAGTACTGAAAGAATTAGAAATGTGACCGCAGTGTACTTTCAGCCCTCTGAGAAATCCCAGAAATGGGAGGACAACCATGTCATAAAGGCTGCCATGATAGTAGTTTGGTGCTTTTAAGGGGATGGGCTGGGGTTCTGGATAGTATTCACCATCACCCCCTGGAAATATTCCAGAGTCCATTATTGAATAGTTGGTTGTTAGGAATCATCATGGGTTCTGGAAGAAATCTTCCACTTCCTTGACTGATAGAAGTATAAGGTTTTAAAACAGTGTCACTAACCCAGGAGTTAATCTGCATGTAATTTAGGACGTTGTCTGATTTTAGCAGTGATAAGGTCTATAAGAGAGTTGTTGTATTTTAAGGGCACTCTCAGATAACATGTTAAACATCAAAATATATAATTTCTAATATTACATAATGGTATAGATGCTTGTTTTTCCCACAGTGACCCAACTTTGAAAATAGGGGTTAGAAAATGACTGTTCTGAATATTTGTGTGTTTTTTCTTTTCATTTCCCAGTTATGATTAATGGAAAATATTGCTGTCCAAAGATATACTTCAACCACCGTTGCTTCTCAGGGCCATATCTTAATAAAGGACGAATCGCTGAGCTGCCTCAGTGTGTGGGACCTGGAAACTGTGTGCTGGTCCTCAGAGAGGTAAGGTTCTGGCCTAGAGCAAAGAGCTTGGAAACTTCACAGCAGTTTCATAAACGCATTCGTGGGAAGATCTCTCTGCATGCCATGGAAGTGACAACTCTCAGGTTTTATCATAAGTGATTAACTTTTCTCGTGTTGGACAGTGATGGGCATGAGATTATCTCTGCCCCCCGGGACCTCCACCTAAGCAGTTAGTCACACAGCAGGCTCACCTGTGTCAATATAAAAAGTCTCTGTCAGAGCACACATGGGAACTGGGCAGGAGTCTGTGTGAGAAAAGTCAGTCTGTGACCGAGCGGCTGTGTGGCATTTATCCGAGAGCGTGATACAGCTGTGCGCCCGCTGGACTTGCAGAGCTTCCTTCCTGGATGCCACAGACAGCGCCAGTAACAGATGTGAGAGCACTGAACTGTTCAGTCACGTGGGGCAATGGCAAGCCTGGGCTGGGAGGCTGGCACTCGGCCTGACTCTGCCACCCACATGAAGGCTCCATGTCCACATAGGGTCCCAAAGAAATCCAGTTTTCTAAGTATTGTGCCTAGGAATGGATTCAGAAGCACATGCTAGAGTAATTTTAAGTCATGGTTCCATTCTTTCTGACTGTAACTTTTTAAATATTTAAGAGAATCTGATTACTCTCTTATTTGCAATGTTGATCAGCTGTCATATCTTCAGTATTACTATTTTGTTAACTAATGTGACTAGAATTAATGTCATAAATGACATGCTAAGGGATAGCAAGGCTCTAATGGTCTGCTTTTCTCCTTCCAACCCATATGTCTGCTTTGAAAATGGAGCACAGGTCCTCACCTTACTTATCAATGCAGCTTACAAACCCAGCCGTGTCCTTCGGGAGCTGCAGCTGGACAAAGACTCTGTGTGGCATGGATGTGGGGAAGTCCTCAAAGCCAAGTGAGTAGGCCCCTCTTCCTTTATGTATACGTACCCTTAGCAGGTCACAGAATCAGTTCTCCCAGGCTAACATTAGAGCACCCAGGTTTCCTTGGCCAGGGCTTCTTTGGCTGTTTGTGGTAAAACCCAGGTTTGTTTTATTATAAGTTTCCATTCTGTCATGGACCAACATATAAGATATGCTAAAAATGAATTATATGAAATTTAAAAAGTATAGGATTCAAGAACAGTTTTCATTGTTATTAGATTTTAGGAACATAGAATTTCTTTTTCAAATTACTGTGCAAGTTCATAAACGTTTATTCTTGTTTTCTGCCCTGAACTTGTCATGGGTATATGACAGTAGTCAGGTTTTACTGGGCCTCAGACCACACTCTGATGATACTGCCTGAGGGTAAAGAAAGACAGTGAAAGTCACTTTTCTTTTATTAATGTAGAAGTTACTATTTGAGAACCTTAAACTTAGGAACAGAAAGCAGGACCCTTATTTTGCCAATTTAAGTAACAGCTTTTAGTTTCATAGCTTACTAGATTGTAAATGTAAGTATATAATATATAAATCCATATTGTTTTCAGAATCTTAAAATATAAAAGACAAAGAATATTCTAATAAGCAGAAATATTCTATATTCTAACAAGCAAATATTAATACCCTTGACTTTTCTCTGGATAATCACTAGCCCAATAAACTTGTGTCTGATGTCTTCCAATGGCAGATACAAAGGAAAGAGTTATCGGGCTACTGTGGAGATAGTGAAGACAGCAGATCGGGTGACTGAATTCTGCCGGCAAACTTGTGTCAAACTGGAATGCTGTCCCAATCTGTTCGGTCCACGGATGGTTCTGGATAAGTGTTCTGAGAATTGCTCTGTACTTACAAAGACCAAATATAGTGAGTCATGTTTTTCAGATTTGTTCTTGGAAAATTTTTATTTTGCAGACTTACATATAACAAAGGTATACAAACTTATTCTGTGAAGGGCCAGATAATAAATATCTTAGGCTGTGGGTCATGTGATCTCCATTGCGTATTTTTGTTTTATTTTTACATTTTAAAAAAAAGCTCTCAAAAATCTAAAAATCATTTTTAGCTTGAGAGCTATACCAAACAGATCATGTGCTAGATTTGCCAACTTTTATATCTAGCATGTATATAAATTAGCTATTGAAGATATTAAGATATGTAATTCATTCATACCATCTGCAAGTGTTTATTTTGTGCCTGCTGTGTGCTGCCACTGTGCTAGCACTGGGAAAAAGTTTCTGTTCTCATTGAGTTTAAACTTTAATGTGGGAGACAGATAATAAACAGATGAATAAATAGAGGGTGGGTAAGCATTGTGGATAAAAATGAAGCAGAGAGGAAGAATTAAACCATGACCTCTTGGTTCATAGATTGATGTTCAACCACTGAGCATCTTGGTCAGGGAACATGTCCAGGTTGTGGGTTCAATCCCCGGTTGGAGGCATGCAGGAGGCAGCAGTTAAATGATTCTCCCTTCCTCTCTGAGATCAATAAAAATATATATTTTAGATAAGTTAATCATACATCTGTCATATGATTCAGCAGTTACTTTCCTAGTTATCTAAGGAAAATGAAAACATGCCCACTAAAACCCGTGCACAGAATGAAAAGCCGGGAAACAGCCAGGTACTCACTAACAGGAGAATAGATACACTGATATAGCCATACAATGGAATGCTATTCATCAATATGAAGGCCTGAACTACTTATACACGCAACAGCAAAGATGAACCTCAAAAACATTATGAAAGAAGCCAAAATAGTACCTACTGTGTGGTTCCAGAGATGAGACAGGCTGACTTATAGTGATGAAAATCAGAATAATGGTTGCTTCTTATGAGGGGTGACTCAAAAGGGACCCTAGGAACTTTCTAAGTTGATGGAGATGGTCTGTGTCTTAAAACGGGAAGTTTTATGCATTTGTTAGTACTAATCAAACTACATCTAAGGTCTCTACAGTTAAGATTATTCCACTTGTACAAAATTTAAACTTTAATCAAATACAGTGTACCTGTTTTCTGCTGGGCTAATAGAATCTCTTGTGGTTTGAGGTGCACAAACATAATGAACTGCTTCATTTTCTTTGTCATTCACATTTAGCACACTATTATGGGAAGAAGAAAAGCAAAAGAATTGGGAGGCCGCCTGGTGGACACAGTAACTTGGCATGTGCCCTGAAAAAAGCCAGTAAGAGGAGAAAGAAGCGGAAAAGTGTTTTTGTTCATAAGAAGAAGCGCTCCTCTGCATCTGTTGATAACACCCCGGTGGGCTCTCCTCAGGTATGAGATCTGATTTACCCGGAACTTCCAGAAACTCAGAAAGAGTACCTGGTCTTTCTCGTTGAGATCCCTGCCAGTAGAAGATGGTTTGGTGGCCCCAGCACTGGTTTGTCCTGATTTTCAATGAACCTTCTCTCATTTTCCTCTAGGGAAGTGGGGGTGAAGATGAGGATGACCCCGATGGAGATGACGATTCTCTAAGTGAAGGCAGTACTTCTGAGCAGCAGGACGAGCTACAGGAAGAGTCAGAAATGTCAGAAAAAAAGTCATGTTCCTCTTCTCCTACCCAAAGTGAGATATCCGCATCACTGCCTGCAGACAGACAAAGGAGGAAACGGGAGCTCCGGTCCTTTTCATTTTCTGATGATGAGAACAAGCCTCCTTCACCAAAGGTGACCCTTTTTTACAGTGCACACTTCTCCTCGGGCTTCTGTCCAGATGTAACTGTTAGCAATGTGGGCATTGCACTCATTTCATTATAGGCTTCAATTTGAATTTCCTGGTCGCTTTTTATGTGATTCCACATTCAGTTATTTATTTGTGTATCAAGGATTATTTGGAGATTAACTGTTTATTAGGAGGAAGGTCTCAGAGTGGCTGCTTATCTTGAGTAAAAGAATGTTTCATTTCTAGCTTATTGGTAGCCTTTTAGTTTGGGGAAAACTTCCTTTTTTAATATTTTTCATAAATGGTTTTATAGAAATACAATAGTTTTGTAGAAAGAAATTATCCTTTTGTTCTGATAAAGCCGTCTTATTTAGTATATTTAACATATATAATATATATGGGCCTTTGCCATCTTTGCTGGGAGAAATCACCTCATAAAACCACTTTAAATCCTGACTTGAGGGGTTATGAATTTAAATAGAGAGACTTAAAGAATATAATCGCTGTTACACCTTTTGGTTTTGTTTTGCTGTGGGGAATGAAGGAAATCAGGATTGAAGTTGCTGAAGGGCTACACCTGGACAGTAACCCCCTGAAGTGGAGTGTGGCGGATGTGGTGCGGTTCATCAGATCCACCGACTGCGCTCCGTTAGCAAGAATATTCCTAGACCAGGTAACCACGGCACTTTTCATGTTTAGTAATATGTTTCTTTAGCAAAGGAATGTGGGTGTACTAGCAATTTATTTACAAGTCTTAGGAAGAATACTAGTATTTCTATGCAAGAGTAAAACTCTTTTAGTACCCATTTTAGGAATACAAGTATGTCAAAAAGTTATTTATCTGACTTCCTTTATAGTTGAAGTGAATTTCATTGCATTGTCGTTTTCCCTAAGAATTTATTTCCATCCTGCAAATATTTAAATGGCTTAAAATTAAGTATGTCAGGCTTATTGTCCCCCTCTTTTCCAAAATAACAGTTTGCCCATTTTAAGAAAATAATATCTGTAATATATTAGGCTCTGAAGTTGTGATAAATTTTAAGGCAAGTTTTCTGAGATAGAAATATCTGTGGCCTTAAATAAATATTGAAATAAATTTGTATTGATAATTGGGGAGATTCAAAGCATAACATCTTTGAAGAACTTATCAGGCTTTTATGAATGTTATAGAGAAGGAAAACATTGAAATTCATTGTTAATACCTTTCAAATTTTTAAAAATATATATATTTTATTGATTTTTTACAGAGAGGAAGGGAGAGAGATAGAGAGCTAGAAACGTCAATGAGAGAGAAACATCGACCAGCTGCCTCCTGCACACCCCCTACCGGGGATGTGCCCGCAACCAATGCACATGCCCTTGACCGGAATCGAACCCCAGATCTTTCAGTCCGCAGACCAGCGCTCTACCACTGAGCCAAACCGGCTTCGGCTATCTTTCAAATTTAAAAAGAGTCCTCTAAAATGTTTCTTTTGGCGCATTTAATTGCTAGTTAGAAGGCTAGTTAGTTTCCTGAATTTCTGCAGAGCAGGAACTGTAGAGTGGATTCTTATCCTTGGTAAAACTTTGTTATTATGAAGATTCATTTATATGGAGGACTATGAGAGGCATCTAAAAGAAAACGTGTGATACTTATTCCAAGGGGAAAAGTAATGAAAGCACAGGGACTCTGTTTTTGACTAAGCCCAAGTGACTGGGGCTATCATGATTGAACTGCTATTCATGTGCACGTCATAAATAATTTGTATTTTGTGTTTTTAACAGGAAATTGATGGACAGGCCCTGCTGCTCCTTACCCTTCCCACCGTTCAAGAGTGCATGGACTTAAAATTAGGTCCTGCCATCAAACTTTGCCATCATATAGAGAGGATCAAGTTTGCTTTTTATGAGCAGTTTGCCAACTGACAAGGACAACCAAAGTGAGCTGTGTCTGAAGCACAAATGCAGCAAACCCTTCGCCTGCTCTGTGAGTGGAGCTGAAATAGCCCTGGGGCTCTGGGCCCTGCAGGTGTTGGCTTGTTCTCTTTGCACTTTCAGGGAAGGAGGTCCCACAGTGAGGAAGCAAACACTGCACAGAAGTGGCTCTCCTGCTAGTGGAAATGGGAGCATCTCTCATTCAGCAGAAGGCAGTTTTTAAAAAATGAAGTTGTGAAGAAACGACTCATCTAAGAAGAATGAGCATTTCCAGGGGTGTGGCCCAAAGGAAGACTAACTTAGGCTGCTGGGAAGCACCCTTTGGTTGTTTTCTTTGTGTTCTGTCCCTTCCCATTGTAGACTGAACTTTGTTCTCTGCTTCTCTTTCTTGGAAAGAGAGGACCTAGCTTTAAGTCAGCACTGATTTGAGACTGCACCTAAGGTGAACCAGTGCTTCCTTGTCATTGTGTTTTTTGAGCTATTTTAAATTAAAACAGTTTCTTTTGGGGAATGATTATGTGGCTCTAGGTTTTGAATGTGCAGTCACATTTTGGTCCAGTATGAAGTCTGTTCTTAGGAGTCCCTTTGTTTACTACCTCTGTTGATAATTGAGCTTGCAGCCATGTGTGAGGTTTTTGTACGGTGCCATTTTAAGGTACATGAACACTAAACTTATGGCAGAAGTTGGAGGGGGAAAATACTGTTTGCTTTCTCAAAAACTGTGTGAGCACTTACACCAATTCCTTAACTGACCTGATCTAAGAACTCGACTAGCACGGGCTACCTGTTTTAAGAAATACCTCAAAGACTGTTGGTATTTCAGTTTAATTGCTCTCTCCCCATTAGTTTTCAGAGGGACTTCAGTGGCTTTTATTGTGTTTAGTTTTCTTCACTATTGTTTGTCTGTTTCATTTCTTAAAGTCCTTACTTTGGATAAAAATCAGTAGGTATTTCTTGGACCCACCATTAAGGCCATTTCCCCTTCTTTTTCCATGTCTTGAGGCAGGTAGTAAAGAAGCACAAGAAAGAAAACAGGTTTTGAGGGCTTATGCAGAGCATGGAGTTTCTGTAATTACCGTGGTTCCCCGAAAATAAGGCATCCTCCGAAAATAAGACCTAGCGCATGGAAAGATAAGACATCCCCTGAAAATAAGACCTAGCGCAACTTTGGGAGCAAAAATTAATATAAGACACTGTCTTATTTTCGGGGAAACAGGGTATTTCCTCAGAGGTTAAAGATTGAGAGGTAGTTAAGGATTCTGGAAACCTCTTTGCCTAGTCAGGTTTATAATTTTCTTCAGTTAAATCTTTAAATTGGATATTATTTATAGTTTGAGGATTCCTACTCAATAACTCAGTTTTCTTTTAGGTATATCTTTGTCCCAGCTCAAAGTGACATGAAGCTACAGGTGGATTTCACTTACCATTGCACTAATAGCTATTATAGGATAATAGCATTTGCTACACTGGTCCAGCTATTGAGGAAAAATAAAAGACATACATAGATTGCTTCCTTTCAATGGTTTACTTTGCTGAGGGTATTTTTTTAAATTATCCTAGTCAGCCGTAAATTTATAAAATAATCATTCCTCTTCAAGATTTGAAAATGTTTTGGAACTACAACTGAGTAAATTCCAAACAGCTATACAAATATAAGGTAATATTATAAAGAAAACATTATTGTGACCCCCCCCCCTTTTTTTTATTCCCTTGCCCCTCACCTGTTTTTATAAACATTGGAAAACATTTTGTAGTTTAGATCCTCTCTTCATTGGATAATTTATGAACCATCTTAATTGAAGCCCTCCAAGCAAGCCATCTAGTAAAACACCAGCTCTTGCCAAAACCGGTTTGGCTCAGTGGATAGAGCGTTGGCCTGTGGACTAAAAGGTCCCAGGTTCGATTCCGGTCAAGTGCATGTACCTTGGTTGTGGGCACATCCCAGTAGGGGGTGTGCAAGAGGCAGCTGATCAATGATTCTCTCTCACCAATGTTTCTAACTCTCCCTCTCTCTTCCTCTCTGTAAAGAATCAATAAAATATATTTTAAAAAAAGAAAAAACAAAAAAAAACACCAGCTCTTTGTTTAGGCTACTACTAGATATACCTGGAAAGAAGCTTCATTTAAGTAAAAATTAATATGCTTGACCTTATAGCCCAGCTTTTGAAAATTTGATTAAGTCTGTGCCCACGGAAGAGAAGCATATATAAGATGCTTGGGAACAATTAGCATTACGTAGGTAGACTTTGGAGGAGGGATGTAGCCTGAATAATCAAGTCTTCTGAGAGCTCAGCAGTCAAGGCACCAAGGTAAGGAAGGTTCCTAGAAGATCAGTGGGACAAAAAATATCTGGAATTAATTAACCTTGTTGTCTTATTTAGGAAAATGAGATTTATTTTCTATAAAAGGAAATTCCCACATGCAACAGTGAACATAGGGTGGGGCAAAAATAGATTTACAGTTCCTATGGAAAACAATACAATAATTAATAAATAACAATACAAGAATAAACTCGCATACTCACAACTGTAAACCTACCTTTGCCCCTCCCTTATTTGTTATATTGCCTCTCTTTTGACTTCTCCAGAAACCACTGAATTAGGAACACCTCCTCCCACCCCCATCTCAAGTAAAGGATGAAAAGCTTCTGAAAGTCAAACAAATGGCCCTAAGTAGTCTGATCTGGATACAGTCGAATCCCAACTAGCTTGTCTATGTTTCCAATGATTATTCAAGCTCAGCTTCCTCCTAGAGAGAGGCTGACTCTATATTGGAAAAGTAAGTAGTGTTTCTCTTAATACTTTTTGCATTCTTCACTGAGATACAATTTATGAGGCAACGGCATTAAAGAACAATGATATATCCCCAGCTTCCACTCCTGGATATTAGATAAGAGAGGACACTTGTTTGGAATGTTGGCATAAGGCATTTTTTTTTTTTTAAAGGGTATAATGTTTAAGCTTTGTTTGCCTCTTAAAACTGCTGGGACTGTGATTCCTATGATTCGGAATCAGATTTTAAGCCTGACTCTAGTTCACCACATTGGGGTGAATGTTTGTATGTTGCACATAAGTGCTGAACTTTGTTTTTTAAAGGCACCAACCTCTTAAATTTATGAGAGGTGCATGTAAGGTGCCAAGTTTGAATCTCACCTTTCGCTGGCCCCACAGCCTGCCCGAGGCCAGAAAGTTTTCCATGACCCACTTTTGATCCTAAATTGACAAGCTTGGAGGCAGGTGAATGAACTATATCATCCCTCTGGACCCTGAAGTCGGCTGACCAATATTAGCTTATGACTGCTCTGTGAATGTGTTAGGGAAGCCTTGTATAGCACATGAAAATTGGCTGACATTTTCTCTGTACTGTCAGCTTCTGGGAACTATGCTATTTTCCTTTGTAAACTACCTTCATCCTCTGTTGAAGTGGCTAATGCAGGGAATGTATTAATGGGGGCTTTTACCTTATCTGGCTTTAATAATGTAAGTGGCTCCCAGCATCTACATTATCCATATATACTTACCAACATCTGAAAAAGGTGGGCTTCTTGGGAAATATTTGTTGACTTATGATAGAGTCACACATAGAAAAGCAGTTCAGAACTTAGCCTTGATTTGCCTCTTCTCATGAAAGTAAAATTATTCTCACTGTGAGGGACAGGGCTTTGGACCAAAGCTTCCCAAGGACTTGAATACATGTTACTTGCTCTCTCGTACCAGTTCAGTAGCTAATGTGGTACCTGAATAGAGATTAAAAGCTTTAAAAGGCCTTAGGTAGAGTAGGACTCAGAACGATTGCCCTCTCTCAAGCCAAAAACTATTTCCAGGGGACACAGAAAACATCAGGGAATTGTTAACAGTAGATAAGATTTATCTAGATGGCGACATTAGGAAAACTGTCACAGGCACTATTTACTTAGCACCTATCACCAAAGACTTTTATATTGAAGATGCCATTTACTGATTTGATTGATGCCCATAGAAGCTCTGAGAGAGCTGTTAGAAGCTTAGCCTCAGCAGTGGAAATACACACTAGGTTTGAACTCTGGTCCCGTATATTGGGGATGTTTCATGTATGCACATGTAAATTCAAAAGAATTCTGTGTTAATAGTTGGTCTTAGGAAGATGAAGAAGTCACTAACAAATGAAGTATAAATCTTGGTGGGGACTGGGTACCCCCTTTTAAAATTTGAATGTCTTTGGTCCTGGGTCATGGTCATGGTGCTGGCTCAGAAATTGTAGGATGGAGCATTCTGCAAAACCAAGAAGAAATCAAGTGATAGTCATGCAATTATAATCCTTCCTTGACTTTATTCACTTTACAATGTTTTGCTAATGAATTTTGATGATTCCCACCCACTTGGTGAGAATGTGCATAATCTATCCAAATAAGCCTCTGGGAGTGTCAGCGGAAGAGTTCTTATCTCAATGCTCTGTCCGAACGGGTCTGGTTCTACACATGCTCACTTGGGGTTTCCTCTGTGCTGTTCCAGACCACACAGGTGGTCTTGTTTCTGAGGGCTGCCTTAGGGACTCAGGTGTTGAAGGTGGTGGGTGGCAAATGCACTGGAGATTGATTTTCTTGGTTCTGCTATTTCAGAAGTCTTAGATTTTCACAAGAACCAGCAAAACCAGGAGTGATGGTTGGGGGAATAGAGAAGTAAGCCTAAAACTCCCCCTTACCCCTCCTTATATCTTTTCTGACTTAACACAATTCTTGGATCTGTTCTGTGCTATGGCCTATCACAGAGGACTATTTCAAAAGGGAAATAAGCCACAGCCTCACAGGATAAGTCTTTAACACCAGCAGTGAAGTGCAACCCTGAATCATGGGAGGCAAAGGATGATACTGAAGCCACCATTTCTGATGGGGGCTCCTGTTCTCAGGATGTGTGGAAGCTCAGTCCTAAGGGCTTCGACATGGTATAGTCCCATGGTCAGCAAACTGCGGCTCTCGAGCCCCATGTGGCTCTTTGGCCCCTTGAGTGTGGCTCTTTCACAAAATACCACAGCCTGGACGAGTCTATTTTTGAAGAAGTATCATTAGAAGTTTAAGTTTAAAAAATTTGGCTCTCAAAAGAAATTTTAATCATTGTACTGTTGATATTTGGCTCTGTTGACTAATGAGTTTGCCGACCACTGGTGTAGTCAATCTAACTGCATGTCTAGCTTGGCAAATAGTGCTGACAGGATGAGGATAGGCTTTGGGAGCAAATCGGATCACAAAGCAGATGATGAGGGCAGTTACAAAATGTAGACAAAGTTAAAACTGGACAATTTCTTAGCTCCTTTTGCAAGAAGTCTCTAGGAAAGTGTAGTTTGAGTGTTTCTGTTGAGATTTAAGCACTCATTTCTTTTCCTTTCTTTTTTGGGCTGAGTATTCTCTAAAGACAATCAGAGGCCGGTGAGGGCAGGACTTCTGGCGGGTTCCAGCACTGTCCTGAGGCCTCTTTCTAATACTCGTTGGAACTGATGCACTTTGTTTAATGTATGTTGTTCTTTTATTTTTACTTTTTAAGCTGCTTGTTTGGAACAGAATGAAATGCATATTGTGTTGTATCCTTGCTTGCTGCTTTTCTCTTAATTTTAAAGTCATGCATTGGGAATAAAATACACTTAAGGAGAAATAATGCACAAGAATACCTATTTAAAAAATAAAAACTTCCACCAAGTTTGATATTGTTTCAAGGGATTAAAAAATAACTATTTTGGATGAATATTTTGTGTGAGGTTTTGGTGGCTTTTTTTTTTTTCTGTAAATAAGAATGTATATAAACTTGTGGTATATTATGGCAGTTCAAAGTGTTTGTGAGGAAATGAAAGCACGTCTTAAGTTATGTTTAACTTCATTTAACAGCAAGAGGGCTTCTTGCCAAGAGTATATCCTTAAAAAAAAACAAAAAACTTTCCAGCGGGGCCTCATAGAATCATCTCCAAATGGAGAAGAACGTTCCTTCCTACTTTAATGAAATGAACCTTTCTAGAATTCTCCCCCCTCTCCTGCCGTCGGGGTCTTTTCCTCTCCCAATTTAGGTACTTTTTATTGCCATTCAGGGAAAGTAGGAAGAGCAGTTTTCCCCCACAGTGACTGCTCCTGATCGCTGAAGATGCTTCTTGTTCCACTCCATTGCTTTGGTGCAGCAGCAAACAGGCCTTAAGGATTCCTCCGCCTCTGGATGTGCAGAGCAGTGCTTTGTGAAAAACTTCATTTTTCAGCTCTGAGTGCAATTTTCCTTGAGCTGTTTGTGTCTTTAAGCAATCAAGAGTCTCCTTATGCCCAACCACAGTCTCTTCTGCTTCCAGTACACATCCTCTTGTTTGGTTCTCTCTCAACATGGACTGTTAACTGTTGAGCATCTTCATAAGAAACCTTCTGAGACTTAAAGACAGTAATGCAAATTTCCCTTACCTATTTATTTTCTTCACCTGGTTTCCTGTATTTTCCCATGGTCAATATTTGTGGAGAGTTTTAAATTTTATAAATTAAAATTCAGTTTAATTTAAAAAGCATCTGTTGCATGTTCTCTGTGCCAGGCACTATGTTGGACTCAAGGGTGAATAAAAACCAGTTCCTGCCCGCAGGAGACTCACACTCAGCTGTGACCATGCCTACAGCCTGACAAGTTCCAGTGGAGCAGCACACACAGGGGCATGTGGAAGCGCAGCGGGGACAGGGAGGTCAGGCAGGCTTCGAAGCCTAAGTAGCAGTTCATGGAGCAGGGGAAAGGAGCAGTGTTCCATGCAGCGGGAATACCACGGGAAGGTGTGGAAGTGCATTGTAAGGCTGGAAAATTGGCACGAGGCGGAGCCATTAGCATTTTTCTGGATAATGAGGTTAATATTTCAGTTAACCAAGAAAGCTTTTGTGTGGCATTGAACTCATGTAATTTGCATTTCTTGGTGGCTATCTTTGAGGGAAAATTTCCCTAGATAGGGTATTTATCGTCCTACAAATGGAGCCCAGCGTTTCTGGAATAACACCATGTGCGCACTGGCATTAAGTAGATGCAGCAGGAAGGTCAGGGACTCCGCAGCACCAACAAGAGATGCCCGGAGTGATGGGAGAGATGCCAGCAGGGGTTGAGAGGATAGGTAAGGGAACGTGGACTAGAGGCCCTGTTCGAGGTAGAGAGCAGGTTCCAAGGAGTCAGAAAGGGTTAGGTGGGAGGAAATGCCAAAGAGTGAAGAGACCCAGGCACATATGAGTTGACTTTGTTTTATGAATCCCATTCAATATTAAAAAAGGTAGAGACATAATCACATATTTTCAGTATTAAACCTTGTATATTGCTAAGTGAAGGCGATTGGATTGAAATGACCATTTAAATTACATTTAGCAGAGAAAAAGAAAGTCGACTAGGGCTGACGGATGACTCTCAGATAAGATAAGCCCGGACACCGGTATTAACGAAAAAAGTGGAAGGACGCAAAGGAAGGCATATGCCTCCATGCCATACCTAGGTGGTTTTTTTCAACCGCCAGCTTCAGAACAATCCAGGCTGCTTTCCGCAAAAGGTGGATGATTCTGCCCTGTCAGAACTACTGAATCGTAATCTGAGGGTGGAATCCAGGAGTGTTTTTTAATAAATTCTGCTGGATATGGAGGGTTTATCTTGGAGGGAAAAATAATTTAGTCACAGACCGTCCCTGCTCCCGCCCCTCTGACTTGGGGCAGGTGATCCCAGGGCCGCTTTCCCACTCCCGCCTTTCCTCACCCGGCTCACCTGTGACCTGGTCCTACCTGTGACCCGGGCTCACGGCCCCGCCCCTCGCCCGGCCGGAGCCCCGCCCCTCGAGGGGAGCGCCCCATCGGCCAAGGCCCGCCCCCACGCCGCGCCGGGCCAATCGCGCGCTGCGATCTCAGACGTCGGGTTACGCGCGGTGCCGAGTCGGCGGCGGCGGGCGGAGGTGCCGGCTTGGACTCCGGGCGCCGGGCTCGGGCTCCGGCTCCGGCTCCGGCTCGCGGCGCGGCCCCCGCAGGCAGCGTGGCTGTGCGGCCCGCGGCGCCCTCGCTCCTCCGCTGGCTCCGTCATGCAGGGCCCTGCGGGGAACGCGAGCCGCGGGCTGTCGGGCGGGTCTGCCACCGCCGCGTCCGGGGCGGGCCGCTGCGAGAGCGGCGCGCTCATGCACAGTTTCGGCATCTTCCTTCAGGGGCTGCTCGGCGTCGTGGCCTTCAGCACGTTGATGCGTGAGTCCCGAACCTCCCGCCCCTCCTGAGGCCCTGCACCCGAGTCGCGGGCCGAGTCGCGCGGGCCCAGGCCCCTGGGCGGGGACCCTCCTGTGTGAAGAGTTGAGGCCTGGGGACCCGGGCCCTTGGGCGGAGGTGCCCGCGCCCTTTGACCCCAGCGCGGGCGTTCCCAGGACCCGGGTCCGGAGCCCCTGGTTCCATCGGTGCCGCCCGTAGCCACGGGCCCCCCTGCTCCTCTCCTGCCACCCGCACACACCTCTCCTGAGGGACCCGCCTAAAACTCGCTCCCCTCCCGCCCGGTCACCGCGAATTAAAGGCTAACCACATCCCACCTGGGGCCGTGCCCCTCGCTCTTCTTGGCCTCCCCTCCGCACTTTGAACCCGCATCCCTGGATCCCCGGGTTGATTCTGAGCTTCTTCCCTGCACCTCCACTCCAAAGATTGCTATCTCCCCTTCTCGTATTTAAATCCCGCTGCTCTGCAGTAACCTGATTTGTTAGCTGGGCATTGCCTTCCCAGGGTTACCTCCTCCTCCCCTCCACCTCCTCCCACCCCGGAACTGCTTTCTCGGGCTTATTTTCTGGTTTGATAGGGGCCAGGACCCACCCAGACTTCCTTCTGCACATTTCCTTCGCTTTTTTCCCCAGAACTGGCGCACCTGTGCCGTCTCTGCCCCAAACTTTCCTAATTAAGTCTCAAGCCTCCCCGGGCTCTTCCTTTTCCCAGCCCACTTTTATCATTTCTATTTCAAGTTTCTTTCCTTTTCTTGAGACTTGGGCAGCCTAGTGGCTTAATGGAGAAGGAGGCACAGAGGGTCTGGAGGTCCCCGAATCCCTGTACGGAAGTCACCAGGAGCCTATTCCTGAGAATTTCATGATGAAGAAAAAAGCCCCAGATGATCCTTCTGGAAAACTAGGTTTTTTTCCACCCCGCTGTCATGTGTGCTGCCTGGTGTGTGTATGGGTGAGGGGGGAGAGATCTGAGGGGGGTATTTTTTTAGTGCACATCCTTCCCTTTATTAAAGGAAAAAGAAGCTTCCGTTGGCTTGTAGGCCTAGGAGTGTCCCTGCAATTGCATTTGGGGGGAAGGGTTATAACTACCCGGATAGAGGCATTCATTTCAAAATGACTTGTTCTCATAACTTCCCCACTGTGCTCAGGGTGGGAGGTTCCTGCAGAAAATACTCCCTCAGCACCCAGATGGATCCTGCGCAGTATGTGTGTGTCTTGTTTGGTCCAGTGGCTGGAGTGGCCACTTCGTTTGTTGGTGGCATGAGCTTATTTGGGTGAATTCTCCCAGGCTTTAGGTATCTCTGAAGAGACTGTTCTTGCACCCCGCTTTCTCCTGGTTGCCTGGCCTTGATAAACCTTGTAACAAATGCCCAAGTGTATATGTGTGCCACGTTTTCATTTTAGTCTCTATTTGCCTTGCTGTTTTCCTTGCTGAACAAATACCCACTTGTTCCCGCAGTAGTAATTTGTGACAACAGAGCCAAAATCAGCTGCTGACTTGGGTGCTTGCACTGTGTGTGTTTTCACGACATTGTATGTGGGTCCTCACTCCCCTCCCACCTCGCTCCTCCAGCTGGCCTTCCTTTCTCTCCAAGCCATGGCTGCTATTTTGTTCTCTAACCCACGATTTCTTAGCTCTGGCTAATTTTTGTGCCTTTGATTGATGCGGATGGCCTGACTTACTCCCTGGGGTTGGATACTTGTGATTCAGAGAGGGAAATGTGATTATGACAGGGCAGAGTTCCTCGAAGCTGAGAAGCGTGCCGGTTTGAATGTGTGCAGGGGGATGGTGCTGGCCCTGCGAGCCTTCAGGGACACACTCGCTGCTTTACTTAATCTTTGTGCAGATCCCACTGTGGTGCAGGCAGAGACCGGACTAGAAAGGGGCCTTTTGGCTAGTGTAAGGCTCGGCGTAGGGGGAGCATGTGGGAATGGGTGGGAGGTCCTGGGACAATGATGAGTAGGAGCGATGGGGAGAAGAATTGGAAAGGCTGTGTCTGCCCTGGGGTGACAGCCAGCACCTTAGTCACCGTAGAAGCAGCCAGCAGGCCAAGGAGACCCCCACGGATAGGGACCCAGTCAGGGAAGGTCCTTTCTTTCCTCCTAAACTTGGTTCTGGTGAAGTGTAACTGTGGCCCCTGCCGTTGTGCACTGGGGGAGGAGGAAGTCGGAGGGGCTGCCTTACATTTGGAATGACTTGGCTGGGGAAAGGGAAAGGGGTGGAGATGATCTCTCGGAAGTACACCTGTGAGCTGTTCGGCTTTGTTGGAGCTGTTAGTCTCCTGGTCCCAGCGTCGCTTCCTCAGAAGAGCCAGGCTCCCATGACAAGAATGTCCACTCTGCAGTCCCTGAGGGAAGTCTTGTTAAGACGCCGCCCTGAGTTCCATCGTTACCTTCTTCAAGCATTCTTCTCTCCTCAGCAGTTTGAATGAACTGTCCCTGCTTCTGTGGAGTCCTAGTCTTTTCCCTTCCCGTGCTTTTGTCCACCGGGCAGTGGGCTCAGGGCTTCTCTTTTCAGACTTTTCACCCAGTTCTGGGGGCAGGTACAGTTCTGGTTCTATAAAGTGGACCCCCTTCTCTGCCAGACATCACTGTGCATCCTGATTTCAGTGATGCCTCAGACCACTCTCTGTGTTTCTTTTCTACCCAGAAAATCACTTTTTTCTCTATTTACAAGTTGCTGTGATTTTTATTCTATAGGGTTTTGTCCTAGAGGAAGACTTCTCATATATATTAACATCTTGGGGGAGGATTTTGATTCTCACAAGGATTTCTCTTCCTGGCCCTTGGTGTGGGGCTTTTCAAGTGGTCCCGGTCCAGAACTGGCGGTTGAGAGTTGGTGTGCCAAGTGCTATCCTTAGCCGATTCTTCAAGCTCCCTAAACATACAGACTGTGTATGACAGGCCGCTGTCCGCATCACCTTGTTGAGTCCGATGAGCCTTCCAGAGGCTCCAGTTAGGAAAGTGGAACAGATTCGGGTAAGCTTATTCAAGGACTTCCCAACACTGGGCTTTCTGGGAGGCCCCTGAAAGGTACAACTGTCTAAGTAGAAAGGAATGCTTTCAACGAGGGGCTTTGTCACGAGCTGCCTGCCCAACAGTTCCTCCTGTTCTGGTGGCTTTGTCTCTAGTCTGTGACTCGATGGAGTCACTCAGACTAGAGTCACAGCAGAATGTAGCTGAGAGATCGGAGTCCAGCGGACTGTCCAGTGCAGGGCAGTAGGCCTGCTGGCAGCCAGAGGTCAGGACTGGCCAGGGTGTGTGTGTTGGCTTTTGGGGGTGTTTGCTGTCAGGATGTGTGAATGCAAAGCCGCCTTCACTGTGTCCAGGCAGAGTTCTGGGCTGAAGTGTAGACAGAATTGGTTTCTCCCAAAACAAGCATTTTGAGGGCTTGAATAAAGCACCCTGCCTATTTCCATGTTACAGACCCGGGGACGAGCCAGCTTGGAGAAGGTGAGAAGGTTTTACAAAAACACTGCCAGCATTGAGAAATGGTAGTTTTCCCCCCTGAAGCTCGAAGTAACATCACAGAACAGTGGGCCCAGCTTTGAAATCTTAATCTCAAATAGACCCTGGTGTTTTCTCACATGGTGAACTGGCCTCCCTGTGTGTTCTGTACACACACACTGAGGTTGGGACAACCTTTCCTGGGATCACCTCTTCCCACCCTATCCCAGTTTTTATTTTTAAAAATGTCCAACCTATGGGGAAGATGGTCAGTAATAGAGTGAACAGCGGTCTGCCCTCCACCTGCATTCAGAAATTGTTCACATTTTGCCACATTTACTTTATCTCTCTATGCTTTCTTTTGGCATCACACTTTACTCCTAAGAACTTCAGTTGAGTCCCCAAAGAATAAAGGCAGCCTTCTACATCACCACTGGTTCACAATCACACATAAGAAAATAAATAACTTCACTCTATCATTTAATACCCAGTCCATATTCCTACTTCCCCAATGTCCCAGGTCTCTGGAATTTTCAAGAACTATAATCTAATCAAGGTCCTCGCATTGCTTTTTAAGTCACTTTCTCTAGAACAGTGGTCGGCAAACCGCGGCTCACAAGCCACATGCGGCTCTTTGGCCCCTGGACTGTGCCTTTTCCACAAAATACCATGTGTGGGCGCACACGTACAGTGCAATTGAAGCTTTGTGGCCCATGCGCAGAAGTTGGTTTTTGGTCTGGACAAGTCTATTTTGAAGAAGTGGTTCATGTGGCTTTTGAGCCAAGGTTTGCTGACCACTGTTCTAGAAGAATCCACACCTACATACACGCACACACACTCACACACTTTTTTCAATGGCATTGCCTTTTTGAAGAATCCTGGCCAGTTGTCTGGTGACTTTGTGTGGTGTTTGAGCTGTTTGGCTGACCCCTGTGTCTCCTGAGTGTGGTCTGGAGGAGCTGTGAGAGTCACACATCCTTTCTCACAGTCGGAACTCTCTATGAGGGGTGCTGTGTGTTTCTTAGTGCATCGCACCGGGAGGCGTGTGACATCAGGAGGCCCCACTGGTAATAAGGTCAATCACTGAGCTGAGGGGGGAGGTCTCTAGATCTCTCCCTTGTCGAGGTACATTCTCCTCTTTGCAGATAATAAATGATCTCTGTGGCAGATACTTTGAGATCCTGCAAATATCCTGTCCCCCAGTAAATTTCCCCTCCCTGTCCACCTCCTCCTGGTAAGACAATGACAACTAGGGATGGCCGAATTGGAGCTCACGAGCGAAGGCACCTGTCTCTGGGTCTAAACCCAAAACACCCTCTCTCAATGTGGGCAGCCTTTCCTCCTCCCAGAGTGCCAGCCACGGCAAAGGGAGGACACCCCTGTTTCCTGTCCCAGGCTGGGATTGTGCCCACGGGGAAAGCAGGGTGGCTGGTAAGGAGTCTAATGTTTAGAACTTTTCAGGTTTCCTAAATGCTGATTTATCTGGTAGCGTTTATTCGTAATGGTGATCTCCTTTATTTATAATAACATTTCATTAATTTG